CGCACTGTCTCGTTTCAGGTGCCAGGCCGACGCTCTTATCATCTTAAAGTAAAAGCCAGAAAGTTGGAATATGATTATCCTAAACCCTTTATGGTAAATTATAAGGTATCCTACCCTGAAACCATATTCCAACTTTCTGGAGTTCCCTTTATCATTACAGGAGGACGTTAGCGGTTCATGTTTACTGAAAGGATCATGGGACTTAGTAAGTTAAGGTTTTAAGTTATAAGTACCAAAATTGGGGATATACGTAATTATAAGTATAGTTACCTGCAAGAACCAGGACGAAGTTTGCGTGTCGGCTCCTCCAATCTGCGGTGCCCATATCATGGAAGCACACACGAGAAGCAGAAGCAAACCCGCAAGGAGCTTGCGTGAAACCATGGCGTGTGATCTTGTTGTTCCAACTACAACTACGGTCCATTTCCCACAGCTCTATCTCTCGGAGCTCCTACCTTACAGTGGGCCCATGCTGCCGTTTACAGATGGATTGGTGTTGAGTTTGATATCCACAGCATGACCCTTTCGGAAAGGCAGAACCTCATGGCTTGCATGCTGAAACCCAGCGCAATCCGCAGGTCCAAGTGGAGTTCACTGGCCAATGCAACTACTGTGACAAACCGACGGCTCTGATTACGACGAGGAGGAGCACGCTTGCACGCTCTACTTCTGCAACAACCATGGCCAAAGTTGGGGTTGAGGGCCCTAAACCCTAAACCCGAACCCTTAAACCCTAAACCCTAAACCCCAAAACCCTAAACCCGAAACCCTAAACCCTAAACCCCAAAACCCTAAACCCGTCTGCTTTTTTCAGGCGGCACTTTGCATAAGCTTCGCATGACATGGCCCTGCCAAGCCGACGCTTTGCAAAACAGGTTGGTTCAAGGCTAAGGCTCAGCCTACTTGGAGGATCATTGGGACTTAGTAAGGGTTCTTAAAGGGCTCCTTAAAGGGATCTATAGGGTTTAGTTTAGGGTTTAGGGTCTACTTGGAGGATCATGGGAATTAGTAATTAGGGTTATAAATTAGGGTAATTATAGGTATAATTACTTATAACCCCAATGACGGTACTTATAACCTTACTTACTAAGTCCCATGATCCTCCAAGTACCCTCCCCCCAACTGACATGAAACCCGAAAACTGTTCCGACTTTGCAGCACCTACTATAGAAGATGACGTTTTCGGTCCATGCTCATTTCAGAGGAGGGTAGTAAAGCGACGCGCGCTATGCATCAGTCGCTGGAAAAGGCCCAGAGCTCATGAGCCTGTCTAGTCGTTCTGGTGCATTTCGCTGAGGGCTTTTAGGGTGTTAGTTGTACAGTCAGTGTAAGGCCGTGAATAATCAAAATCAGATTTTGCGGTCCCCGACCCAGTGCCCGACTCCAACACGCCCAAAAGACAACCCCTAAAGTTCGCTCCCCGTGGCAAGTACAAGCAAAACATGTCTTTCTTGGCTATCCTAATAAAGCATATGGCTGGTTGTCAAAATTATGGTCCCTTTCTGGGTATCCTAAATATTAGGTGCCGTACTACATTAAGGACCCAGAAAGGGACCCTGATTTTGACAACCACCCATATAAACCAAAACCCCCCTCCCCCCCCTCCTAAAAACAAAAAGGAGCCAGAAACCCTAAACCCTAAACCCTAAACCCCTAAACCCTAAACCCTAAACCCTAAACAAAAAGGAGCCAGACTCTCAGCGTAAACCCTATCCTGCAGAACCTGCGTGGACTTCGACTCAGAGGGTCATGGGACTTGGTAACTGTGCTTATAAACATATAGGGTTTAGGGTTTAGGGTTCAGGGTTTAGGGTTTAGGGTTCAGGGTTTAGGGTTGAGGGTTGAGGGTTTAGGTTCAGGGTTTAGAGTTTAGGGTTTAGGGTTCCCTAAAAGGCAACTACTCGGCCCTAAACCAAGGACATTAAGCTACTCACTAAGTCCAAGGATCCTGTAAGTAGGGTCCAGGACTTCTCTTCTGTGGCTGTGCGCTTGGAGGCGAGGCTGCAGCTTGTTGGGCGGGGTTCGCGAGGTCGTGTTTAGAGCAAAATACAACTTAAACTACTACGGTTGATGATATAAATCCTGCATTACTGGGAATTATGGTACATTACTTATGTTGGGTCATGCAGGATTTATATCATCAACCGTAGAACCAACGCTTTTGGTAGGCTCCCAAGCTCTATCCTAATATCGAAACTAACCGGAATCCCACAAGTGTACGTTTTGGAAGCTCAAGCGAGCTCAATGAGAATGGAGGCTCCATTTCAGGGGCTGCTTGTAACAAACATACTATATACTGTGCAAGGTTTATTAACTAACAAGAACATACGAAATACTACGCAAGGTCTAGATATGATATTGGTCCTATGGTTTCGGACACACCCCAAAGATTGAAATCGGAAAAGCAACGCCTTCCATCATCATCCCTAAGCACAACCCAAGATTTAGGTTCTGGGGATTTTAGGGATTAGGGTTAGGGTCTAGGCTTCAGAATTTAGTCCCATAACCTACCTTACTGCGAGGCAGCAAAACACAGGCTGATATCGAACCCTGAAGACTGAAAATTACAATTCTTGAGGCTCCTTATTATGGTTGTAGCATGAATATCATAACATACCGAGAAACAAAACACGATTCTTCAGGCCGCAGCATTATGATAGTTGAAAGAAAGCCTTCGAAACCGAAACCGTAACTCCAATCCTCCGCACACGAGCCCTAACCCCTGAACCTGACTTAAGCAAAACCCTGACAGCGAAAGCCATGATAAAGCCAAGCGTTATAATAGTACTCGTCTTAACAGAAGTCTCATACAACCCCAAAACCAGCGCAAAAGCCCAATCAAGCCCTATGAGCCGTAATCATTAGGTACGGCTCCCAAAAAGCACACAAGCAAAAACAAGGCCAGGGATATCCCATGTAAGCCCCCTTATAATGAAGCCCAGTAAGGTAGGGACCTCCCCATAAAATGCGTCTGTCCATTGTGGGTCCCTAACTTCAAGAGTTCCTCTAAGGGATCCTCTTGAGGTTCCTTTAAAGGCCTACATTGCCGAGCTCCGGGCTGCTTGAGGGTGGAGAAAATTTCTGGAAAGTGGCCGATGAAGAAACTGCTTACTTGGAGGATCAGGGGACTTAGTAAGTAAGGTTATAAGTACCCTAATTGGGGTTATAAGTAATTATAAGTATAGTTACCTTATTTATAACCCTAGTTACTAAGTCCCATGATCCTTTAAATAGGGTTTTGGTTTTTGAGAATAGCGGCTACGGGTTTAGGGGTTAGGGTCTTTCACATCGAATTACTAAGTCCTAAAGCCTAAACCCAAAAGACTCAGACCCTCAGCCAGCTTCCTGGCTTGCTGGGATCCCGTCCACGGCTCAGGGTAGACTTAGCTATTACCTGGAAGAGGGATCCGTTGATGGTTTAATGGTTTCTGATGAGGTTGTTATAAGGGTACCGAAAAAGGGGTCTTCATAAGTTGTTGATTTGGGGGGGGGGGGGGGGGGGGGGGGGGGCGGAAGAGTTAGGCTATGGTATGGGGTATATTGCAGTGTAATCATATTAAGGACTTCTACAATAATTGCTCAAGCCTCTCTATTAGTCCGCAAGTTCCGCATTCAGATATAAACATGTAGAGGGGAGTTGCTGAGGAGAGAAGGCTTTTCTCGTTGGATAGTGTCGTCGGCTTTCCTCATCGGCAAAACCCCACATCGTCGCCGACAGACGCAGGAGACGCAGCTCCGTACCCTCTGCCACTCTAGCTTGCAAGCACTAGAAACCCATTCTAATAGTAACAACAAAAATAGCACTACAAAGAACAGTAATGCTGCTTCAAATTAGTAGTAGTAAACTTGAAATTATTAGCAGTAGAGGTAGTAGAAGTAGTAGAAGTAATAGTAGCAGCAGGAGTAGTAGTAGTAGTAGTAGTAGTAGTAGTAGTAGTAGTAGTAGTAGTAGTAGTAGTAGTAGTAGTAGTAGTAGGAGTAGTAGTAGTAGTAGTAGTAGTAGTAGTAGTAGTAGTAGTAGTAGTAGTGGTAGTAGTAGTAGTAGTAGTCGTGATAAGAAACCAACACCGTTAACAATCTCGTGTGGTTCATTAGAGTGAACTAAAAAGTCCTAAGAACACTAGCGCTTCAAAGGTTTAGGTTGAAGGGTGCTCCTTAGCTGCAAGGTACGTTTTAACTGCGTCGTGGCTCAGGGTTGAGGATTACTACTAGACGGTAAGAACCCAAAAAGTTTGAAGGATGGGTATTGGAAAACTAGGGGTTAGATATGTCAAGAACGAGAACGCTCACAACCAGAATCCGACCCTGTCGGGTGCAATCTGGGTGGGGCTTCAACCTCCACAGTGGGTCTAGTATAAGGGCCTCAATAGTCAGGTACAATATACTATGTAAACTGCAACTGTACAAGGATTATATGGGAATGCTGGCACTAAACTCTCAGGGCCCTCTGTTACATGGGTTGGCGGCGAAGCTGTTCAAAACTCATGAGATCTTAACCCTAAACCCATACGTAGACCCCTAAAGCCTAAACTCCTAAAGACTTCAGGACTGTGAGGCTGATTCCATGCGCGTCGGGCGTCCCGAAACCGCAAGCCCCGAACACTAAACTCCAAACAGTCGATCGTAGCACCCAATCCCTATTGTAAACTCCAAAAAGTTGGAAACCTAATTAAGGACAAATCGTGCTGGGATTCCCTTTACTTTGCACTTAGGGATTGAAGCTATCGGATTTCCAACTTCTCGGCATCTGCTATAATCCTGAGGCACTAAACCCTAAGGGCTTGAGGAGTCCGGGCTTGCAAACATTCCGGCGATTTGTGCCTCATGCCCTCTTTAAGGGCTCTATCGAGGGATCTGCAAGGGTTCTGTAAAGCTTGAGAATCCACTTTTTTTGAAGGGTCCCTATAAGCTGCCAGGTGGAGTGTATCATAAGAACCTACAAGAAGATGAGGGTTGGTAGGTCAAAGCAGGGTTTGGGAAACCTGTAGATCGGCTGGACATCAGACGATCGTCCCGTTGTTGTGGAGCCTGAGGACTTTCTGGAAAGAACTCTTCAAGCTGCCCCTGAAGGTTCCGGCTTAAGGGCCAAGGGTTTGGGGAAGTTTAGGGCTTAGGGTTTAGGGTTGAGGGTCTAGGGTTTAGGGCTTCGGGTTTGGGGTTGAGGGTTTAGGGTTTCAGCTTCGGGGTTAAGGGTTTAGGGTTAAGGGCTTAGGGTTCAGGCTCGAGGGTGGAAGGCCTAGGGCTGAGGCTTGAAGCCTGAGGGTATAGGGGTTTAGGGTTTAGGGCTTAGGGGTTTAGGGGTTTAGGGGTTTAGGGTTTAAGGTTTAGGACTTAGGGGTTTAGGGGTTTAGAGGTTTAGGGTTTGAGGTTTAAGGTTTTGGGTTGAAGGTTTTGAAGTGAGGCTCGAGGGTAGAGGGTTAAAGGTTTAGGGTTTACGGGTTAGGTCCGATAGCAATCGGCGAAGTCCTATGAATGCCCATAGTTGGGTTTTCAGGGTTCCCTCAGGGTTCCGGGTGTCTAGCTGTAGTCAATGCTTTGGGCTGATCTCCGGTTGCAGTTTCAGATCTTGCGGTTTAGGCGGAAGGAGTTTGAGGGTTGTTACAGGGTTATAGGTTTTGGGGTTTAGGAGTGGAGAATTTAGCGGTTTTGTTCGAGAGTTTTAAGGTTTACAGGGTTGTACTATTTAGGCCTTGGGGTTCTAAGGTCTAGGGTTTCGGGTTGCAGGGTGTTGGGCTTCGGGCCTTTCGAGATGCTCTTTGCACGCGTCAATACAGAAGTCAGAATAGTTAATGGCAGGTAGGTTTAATAACGTCCCCCTCCGGTTCGCTTATGGTTCTACTATATTGCACACAAGAAGAAAAGCGCGCATCTGTAAGCCCTGAACACGAAGCAATGGACTTAACCTAAACCCTGCAAGTCTGCACTGCAGGCCCCGACACCGCCACTCCCCCCCCCCCCCCCCCCCCCCCCCGCCACTCGCAAACCCCTCCGCAGCAGTCCATCCATATGTATATATATATATATATATTGCACGCATAGCAACCCAAAGTCTTAAGCCTCTAGGGGTAGCTGTACAGTATGTGTGTATGCGCAGGATATCGGCATGCTGTCTTTAATTATTCAGACCCCTGACCTCTGTATGAAACCCAGACCCTAAACTACGGCTGATGATATAAATCCTGCATTACCTTAAGGACCCTAAACTATGGGAGTTATGGCATATTCCTTATTATGGGTCATGCAGGAGTTATATCATCAACCGTAGGTGTCGACTTCCACAGCCCCCAGAACCATCGAAGCGACGGCAAGAACAGTAAGCCCATGGGCGAAATCCAAACGAATCGTTATAACCTTTTTCGGCACCCCACGAACCCGCCTAAACCTGAATCCATGCCTACTTGGACGCTCTTTGGACGTAGAAAGCATTCACAACCCCCGGGAGGATCCAAAAAGCAGATCCCTTAATGGGGGGTTCCAAAAAATATCCTTAGTAGCATAGGGCCCCAATTTAGGGGATCTACTTTCTAGATCCTCCCGGACTCCCGGGGGTCTGGGAAGAGAGCACGAAGTAGAATTGCCACGTCGGAGGAACTTCCCAGCAACCAAACTTCATGACACAGGCGAGACGCCATAAAGATTAGAGTAGGGTGCGTCACGGCTCCTTGGTACAACTATAATATGATAATATACTAAACCCTAAACCCTAAACCTATAGTATAATATTCCCAAAATTCTAGTCATCAGGCTTCTACATTTCAAGTTTAGAAGCGAGGTCGGCGTCAGGTGTACTCATCCTAAACTCAAGCAAAGAAAAGGCCGCAGAATCCATTGGATCAACCGAGTCGTCTTGTGGAAGGCGCATTTGTCAACTCTGTCACTGTCACAGCGAAGGTGGTGTCGCTTTAAGAAGCTTGTCGGCTTGGTCTTTGCCCTAAACCCTAAACCCTAAACCCGGAACCCCAACTCCTCTGGAAGCATAGTGAAAGCACCATCCAATCCGGACCACATGCGGCCCCATTTGCAACTTGCGCCAGGAGATGGGGAATCCAAAAGTAACGCAAAAAGATGGCCTCTTCAGTAAAGCCCAGAAGATCATGCGTCCACATGAGCAAAGAATGCCTGATGAAAGGAAGATGTGCAGCCTCCGCTAAAGGAATCCACTGACTCGCTGGAAGCCTATGTGCCGAGACCACAGCCCCGAGACGGCAAACTGTGAGGAAGAGGTAGCGAGAGTTGCCATGCTCTCGCGCTTTCTCTGACGCGCACTGTCGTATGTGCCGACTCGATGTCTAAAGAAAAACCACCTATCGTACCGTAGCGAGCTGCATGGAGCTTCATCGGGTTTTGACAGTGAGGTCTGGGGAGAAAGTCCAACAAGCAGATGCAAGAAGGTAGGGTTTAGGGTTTAGGGTTTAGGGTTTAGGGTTTAGGGTTGCAGATGCAAGAAGCACCCTTAAGATAGGCATTATTCGGGGGCTTCCAGTTGCCAGATCGCTTGAGCCACTTGGAAAATAGGGGGGCCCCCAATGTAGTACCCTATATTGTAGGACCATTATTATAGGGACCCCAGATTGAGGTACTCTATTTCTCGGAATCTCCCGCTCCGGAACCAAACAATGAAACTCAAAGTCTGGCAGGACATTCCTAAACTCAAAACACCGAAAACGAAACAGCATCCAACCATGCCTCCCTTCCGAAACAAATGCATTCAACCAAGACCAAACACTAGGCAAAAGAGCCCGAAACCCTAAATTCCTCAAGCCACAACCCCACACCCCAAATCCCTAAACCCTAATGAACCCTAAATCCTCGACCCCTAAACCCTACACCCTAAACCCTGCCCGAACCCTAGAACACCTGCATCTTTAGGGTTCTTACAATGATTTCCTCATAGACGTCCACAAAAACAGGGCTTCTGGCAGCCTCAACCCTAAACCCTAAATCGTGACAGCGCAGAATGCAAGCCCAAGCAGCATGTGGCACAACTGACAGGTTTCCTTGGGCGCATTTGAAGATGGCAGGTAGAGTCTAGGATTTAGGGTTTAGGACGTAGTTTCGGTGGTTTAGAAGGTTTCCAGTCTCTACAAGGTGTAGGTGTGAGAAGGTTGAGAGGTTTTACAGGACTTTGAGAGTTTAGGGTGCAGGGTGTCTTGAGAAGAGTATGAGGATTTAGAAGTAGGTTAGTGGGTCTGCCCAAGCTATGTTGCTTTGGCGATCCCTCTAGAGGATACAATGACGCAAATCAAAACAACCGGCAACTAAACAAGGTATCCACGAGCCGTACAGGTTAGGTTAGCTTTAGAGTGTTTGGTCTGGGGTTGCGTGTTCAGAGTGCCGAATGTACTGGGCAAATCCCGTGCAACATCCAATTCTTGCTGAAGGCCAGCCATAAAATGAGATACGCAAGCGAAATAGATGCTAAGAACGGCCTAGTTTAGATTGAGATTTCGCGTCTAGGCCGCACTTGCAAATCTAACCCAAGTCAAAACTCCTGTCGGATTCAACATTCCTTGCAGTAGACCCAATGCCCTATATCTTCACAGCAGGAAAGGTCGGAGTACAGTTGCCTGACCAATTTGAAAGGGTTCTGTTCCTGTAAGGGCTTTGTTGAAGGGTGCCATAGGGGTTTAGAGGTTGGGGGCCTTGAAGGAAAGCTCCGTTGCCCTTTCAAGGGGCCACAACCCAACAAAGCACAAGACGAAAAAGCGTTAGAACCGTATAGCAAGCCTCATGCCAGGAATCCATCTAAGCCCCAAACTCCCTAAACCCCATACCCCAGATCAGTCTGACTCTACCCTAAGGTTCCTAACACCTTGTGGAACATCAAAAGGTAGGATTTCCCCGACCCCCGGGAGGATCTAGAAAGTAGATCCCCTAATTTGGGGCCCTATACTGCTAAGGGTACTGTATAGGAACCCCCTTAAGGGATCTACTTTTTGGATCCTCCCGGGGGTCTGGGTTCTGAGACCCCCCAAAAAAGACCCCAGAGCCCTCCCTAGGAGATTCCGGGCCCTTGCCAGGAGATACCAGGACGCTGAAATCCCAGTGATGGGAGGCCAAAAGGGGGGTTTAAGATTCTGGGGGTAGGGATTCCCTAATATGAACCCTATTACGGGAACCCCAATCCCTAAACCCTAAACCCTAAACCTATGACCCAGGTTCCGAACCTGCAGCCTGAGTGGCAGCACAGTACAAAGCGGCTTCCACTGGAAAGACAGAGCACCTGAGTGTCACGTTTCGGCCTTCATATTTTGAATAAGGTATCTATGTGGGTTCCTTAAAGAGTTCCTCTAACGGGTTCTATACAGAGGAGTTTAGGGTACAGGGGCTGGAATGCTTCGAATGGTGTAAGGAATCGTATATTGATAGTTGATCAAGCTTTATTCCGAGGTCGACTGCAGATACATTGGCGTGGAGGGTCCCTACATGAGCCTCAACAATTAGAATACTGTTTCGGGGTAGGTATACTATGGTATATTGTAATCCATGTATAAGGAGCCTAAGGATTAAGATTACTAGGTGTTTCATATCGGCTTCTATATGGCCACTCTTGCCTTCGAAGGATCTTCTCGGACCGCAAGAAAGCTTTGTGGTTTCGGGGGCTTAGGGCCTATGGAGCTGAAGGGTTTGGGGGTTAAGGTTCCAGGCAACGGCAAGGTCACAATATGGGTGGTTGTCAAATGATGGTCCCTTTTTGGGTACCCTAAATATTAGGTGCCGTATTATAATAAGGACCCAAAAAGGACCCTAATATTGATAACCACCCATATGTTGGAAGTTTACAGACCAGTTTAAGGCTATAAAGTGATCAGGCTACTAGTTATAAATGCTAAGCCCAGTAGGACCCTTCAAAACCCCATATAGAACCCTAAAACACCCTTGAGAAGCGTTTTCCAGTGGCCTGGCACTATGTGGCTGAACCATGGGCTCCAATGTTTAGGATTAAATCCGTATAAATCCTTTCAGGGGTCTGGGGAGGGGTGTGGGTGCCCGATTATGTTATATCCATTGCTTTTCTGCAACAAGCCCCAAAACCCCCATTCTACCGTACCCTACACTACATCACCCTTATCCTGATTGTCCTTTTGCTGTTCTAAACCCTCAAAACAGGGCATGGCGCTTGCGGGGAATCCCTCGACCCCTATTCCTAAACCCGAAGCCTACAAAACCCTGAGCCCCAAGGCAGTGCTAAGGGCTTACTTAACGGATCAGGAGAGTTTAGGGTTTACGGGTAAAAGGGCTTACAGTAAACCCCATAAAGTTGGAAACCCGGTTAAGGCCAAATAGTGCTGGGATTCCCAATACAGTACTCTTAAGGATTGAGGCTTTCCAACTTTTGGGCTTCTACGGCTTCTACTGTAGTTACTCACAGGATCAGGAGACTGAGCAACTAGGATCATAAATAAGGTAACTATAGTTCTAATTTCTTACTCTTTATAACCCTGCTTACTACATCAAAAATAAGGGTTAGAGGGCCGATGCCGCCGAAGGCACAGACCCAGCATTTTCGCTTGTGCACAGTCTCGGACGCCCAGATCATCTGGGAAAACCTGATCTCAGACCCCTGCGAGGATCCAAGAAGCAGATCCCTTAAGGGTTCCTTTAAAGTACCCTTTAGCAGCAGGTTTAGAGGGGCCCAAGTTCGAGGATCTGCTTTCAAGATCCTCCAGGGCGTCTGGGATGCTGAACCCGGGTTTGGGGCCTGAGGACTCCCAATATGCCTCTTTAAGAACCGTAAACCCGACATGGGGGTTTCCGAAAAAAGGGAATCCTAATATAGTACCCCAAATAGTAGGATCTTTACTACAAGGACATAATGCACCCCTTATTTTCGGAGACTCCTTCATCTGTAAACTCTGAGCCCTAACCTACAGGCTCTGAACCCTAAACCCCACACCCACAACTACAAACTCGAAACCTCATGCGCCCTAAGCCCTACGCCCTGAACGCACAGCCTTAAACCCTCAGCGTGTTGGGATCATCCTAGAACCGTAAAACCCAAACCAGAACATCCAACTTAGGGTCTAGAGTCCGAGTTTGGGTCGGGGCCTGCGGCAGTAGCACGCCACTCCACGAGGCGGCGACAAGCTCTGCTGAATACAGTTTGACACGAACTGCACGATGCTGTGCAAGTTCGCGTCCCTCCGGGGACAAAGGCATCAACCTCCCACATAACCCATGTGAAAACAACGGGAGCCATTGAGACTTATGGGGAATAGGGCAATGAATGATTATCATACTACTTATCCAAACTTCTATGTCATGTCGTGGAGATCCCTGAAATCCCTGTATAAGGTGCCATAACCTAGGAAACCGATAATGTAGGAACCTGATTTAGCAACCCTGGGACTATAACCCCAAAATAGTAGGCATCATATAGCGAACACTAAACGGTTTAGGGTTTAGGGTTTAGGGTTTTCTTAATCAGGTTCCTACATTAGCATGTTACAAATCCTACGCGGCCACTCAAAGGCGATATAAAGACACGGGATCAAAGCCTCGGAACCAATGTAAATCCGTGGAAAACTAACCAGTGGTGTTGGGGCTCCCTTGGCTCTGTAGCTCCTTATTGAAGTAGGGATTATCATCCCTGGCCCCTTAGCTCCTCCAACATCAATGGCTATAGGGTTTAGGGGTTTAGGGTTTAGGGTTTAGGGTTTAGGGTTTAGGGTTTAGGGTTTAGAGAAGCAAAACACGTTCATCTCGAGCCCTGATCCCTACTTGGAGGATCGTGGGACTTACTAAGCCTTTACTAAGTACAGTAGAAGCCAGAAAGTTGGAATACGATTATCCTAACCCTTCTATGGTAAATTTTAGGGTATCCTACCATGAAGCCATATTCCAACTTTCTGGAGTTCCCTGTACTAAGCCTTTACTAAGTATGGTTATAAGTACCTTAGTTGGGGTTGTAAGTAGTGATAAGTATAGTTACCCTTATAACAACTGTAATCACCTGAGTTACTAAGTCCCATGATCCTTTAAGTAACACCCAGACCTTCCAAAATCCCTTAATTAAGGAATATACCTTAAATTATAGTAGGATCCCTAATATCATTTAAGGTATATTCCTTAATTAAGGGATTTTCGAAGGTCTGGGTAACACCCACCACCCACCATCCTCAAAGTCTAAACAGCCCCTGAACCATGAAATCCTGAACCCAGGCTCCCGACACATCATCCCTCCGAACCCAAACGTCTGCGAGGCAAGAACGTCCTGAACTACAAAGCTACAGAACCCCCCAGAGAGCCCAATACCCCTTAATTAAGGAATATGGCTTAAATTCTATAGGGCTTCATACTATGATTTAAGCTATATTCCCTATTAAGCCCTGCGGGTTCACTTTCGGTGGTGGTTTTGTATCGTTTTTTTCGGGGTTCGGTGTTTTTACGTACTGGGAAAAAACTTTTTTGGGCAGGGGTTTGGGATAGCATGTATCGTGAACTTGTTTCGTGTGTAGTGATAACTGGTTGTTCTGGGGATTGCTATTACGGAGTTGTATGTAATACGTGGTGTGTAATGATGATGATGGTGATGATGATGATGATGGTGATGATGATGATGATGGTGATGCCGGCAGTGCATGTCCTGTCGAGTCCCGTTGTTCAGGGAACTTTGGAGCTTGATTTGTGTTCGCGTATCTCGTGTGAGTCGGGGTTCCCATGTTTCTTCGTTGTTCTCTTTCCTGTCAGTAGCACGCTTGCACAGGGAACTTCGCAGCTTGATTTGTGTTCGCTTGAACAGAACGTCATTACTCCCCCCCCACCCCCCCACCCCCCACCCCCCCCAAAGAGCAAGCAGAGCACATGACCGAAAACAACATCGACGCAAACAACGCAGAAAAGTTCAGGGAAGTTTGGAGCTTGATTTGTGTTCGCGTATCTCGTGTGAGTCGGGGTTCCCATGTTTCTTCGTTGTTCTCTTTCCTGTCAGTAGCACGCTTGCACAGGGAACTTCGCAGCTTGATTTGTGTTCGCTTGAACAGAACGTCACTACCCCCCCCCCCACCCTCCCCCACCCCCCCATGACCGAAAGCAACAACGACGCATAAAACGCAGAAAACGCAAAGCGGCAGACATCCCAAAAACATGCCTGCAGAAAGTCAGTTCCGACGAATTCGCAACCGAAAATGTACTACCAAAAACGACGTCGTTTTTGGTGCAAAAAACAAAGACAGCGCGAATCAGACAAAACACTCGGTTACCAAGAGCGGAACACAGGTAACAAGGCGAAAACCTCGCGCTGGGCGGTGTTTTCCATGTGGCGGAAAGGCCGTGCGAAGGAGAAGTGCATACAAAGGCACATAAACAACAGGAAAAACCACCCCCGAAAGTGAACCCGCTAGGCTATTAAGGGGTATTGGGCTCTCTGGGTACCTTGACGAATCCGCAATTTTAGGCACTGAAAGCCCTCAACCAGCCAAAGCTAAGCGCGGGTCGGAAGTGTCTCGACATCCCTGGCAGGGTTGGGATTTGGGTGGTTGTCAAAATTGTGGTCCCCTTTTGGGTCCCTAATATAATACAGCACGTATTATTTAGGGTACCCAAAAAGGGACCATAATTTTGACAACTACCCATTTACGAAATAAGGTTTAGGGTTTGGGAATTAGGTTCGATGGCATCGGTAGGCTACTTTAGAAATCTTGTGGCTTGGTAGGTTGTGCTGAAATTAGGCTGTAGCCAGAGAGCCCAATACCCCTTAAAATAAGGAATATGGCTTAGATTATTTAGGGCTTCATACTATGATTTAAGCTATATTCCTTAATTGAGGGGTAGTGGGCTCTCTGGGTAAGGCCTAGGGCTTAGAATTTAAAGTTTAGGGTTCAGGGTTCAGGCCCTAATTTCAGTTCTCCTACTCATAACCATGCTTAGCCAGACCCCCCAAAAAGTAGATCCCTTAATGAGGGCTCCTGTAAAGTAGCCATAGTAGTATATGGCCCCAAATTAGGGGAACTACTTTCTAGATCCTCCCGGGGTCTGGGTATCGCCTACTTGCCGAGTGCCCAGATACTCGAAACAAGCCATGAGAGCCCCATGCCTTAGGACAGAGGGCTGAAAGCATTTTAGAGTTTAGGGTTTAGGAGTTTAGGGATTTAGGGGTTTAGGGTTTAGGGACATTGGAGATGTATTCAGGATGTATGGGCTACTGGGAAGGTGCGGGGACTGAGTACAGACTCAGTCCAGGTCATACTGGTCTCTGGTGTGATCCTGCTTATATGGGTGGTTGTCAATATTAGGGTCACTTTTTGGGTGCTCTAAATAATAGGTGCCGTACTATAGTAGGGACCCAAAAAGGGACCCTAATTTTGACAACCACCCTTATATCTTACAACCCTACTTGCCAAATCCCTCGACCCTTGAAGCAGTAGGCCGCTATGTTGCAGCCGAGGTAGTAACCCTTTTAGAACCCTTAGAAAAAACTGCTGGGCTTAGGGTTTAGGGAGTAGGGATTAGGGTTTAGGGTTTAGGGTTTAGCCGTAGCCTAAACCCTGAGCCTGACTTGGACACTGACCAGAACCCTTTGAAGAACCCTTTCAATAAAAACGGCTTCGGATTGAAAGTACGTCGCAATCCGGGCGCGTGTTCTTGATTCCAGGGGCCGTGGGCTTCGGGTCGGACGCTCAACGTCGCAGATCGCGTAGACCTGATCGCTGATCACTTCCACCATGAGCGAGTTCAACCGGACGAGATGGGACACGGGAAGGTCGGCAACACCATAGTACAACGATTCGTCATCGAGCGTCACCAGTTGTGGGTCTGGGTTTTGGGTTTATAAGTTTAGGCCGGCCTGGCGGGAAACTGACAAATGTAGGACAACAAATCTGCAGTTTGACCCTGGCTGTGCTTTGATGGTCGGCAAAGCAGCGTGCTCCAAACACCATACCCAAAACCCTACCCTAAAACCTAAAATCCTAAATCCGCGCAGAAGAGCCGGCGGTCTGCAAGCATGCTGCAAGCCTAGGCAATATGGAGGCGCTCATAAATAGAGGTATCTTAGACTGAAACTATGATGAGGAACCCTAAAGGAATAAAATTGGTAGTTGTATTGGGTTTCTATATCATAATCGCATCATGCTGTCTGACATGATCCTAAATTTTATGCCGACACAGTAAATTTGTAAGTGATCTTTATCAGCTGCTGCCTGCCACCAGCCTAAACCACACACCCAAAGGACTCTGCGAAGATGAGCTTGTCACACTGAACAATGTTTTTCGGACCCCAATAGGCGGGATCTTAAACCCTACAACCCGTAAACGCTAAACTATATAGGCCTTAGTCCTTAGCGACTAAGCTGCTTATAGCATGCTTGTTACAAGGAACACTAAGGGAGAGAACATGAACAAATCGTCAAGTTACCATATTACAGGATCCTGCCCTAAACCCTAAACCCCTAAAGCCGTATATTCAGCCGTCATCTAACCCGACCCAACCTAATCCCAACCCCTGAAAACTCTCAAAGTTCGGGCTCATGGCAGCTTTGACCGCCTCGCAGCTGCGAGGGCACCACTCTGGGATGTTCTCCTGAGATCGCGCTTACCCAAACCCCCGGCAGGATCTAGAAAATAGCTCCCCTAATTTGGGGCCCTATACTACTAAGGGTACTTTATAGGAACCCCCATTAAGGGATTTACTTTTTGGATCCTCCCCAAAATCTGGGCAACGCAAAACTTTACTAGTCCATGGTTTGGATAGCATTTTAACAGGTTGAGCTCTGTTCGGTTACCCAGCTAAGACAAAGTTTAGGGCTTGGTTCACAGGCACGCGGCTTTTGGCTTTTAGGTCTTTGCAGTTCAGGGTTTGTGTGGTTAAGGGTTAATAAACGTGGGGCATCATGGCTTTCGTGAGGCCTTACGGAAGGCATGATCACCCCCTTGCAGCAGACAGCTACACCGCCACAACCTACGAGGCATCACCGCGAGCATGCAAATTACGGGCCGCACACAAGATCCCGACGTCTCGATTCTGCAGCCTGTTATGTCGGGGAGTTGTCCACTAATTGAAGGGCGGTCGACGGCTAACCCCGGGCCCATGACGGACAGCGAACTCCTCGGAATACAAGGGAATCCATGTCCCGGAGATAACTGTCAACTGGGAACCGGCAAGTGTTAGCTATGCTCGACGATTCGGGTGACTTGGCGGCTGACCCTTCCCGAGTCCGCTAACTACCACCCGGCCTATACTCACGAACATCGTCCTATCTGTGCCTTTCTTGTGCTCTCAACGTTGTGCAACTACAACCAGCGCCCCGGAAGCAACCCGTTCATACCACACGGGGGAGGATAGATCAAGTCACGGCAGCAGTGACGGAGCCGGACCATGCAGAGGCTTAGGTTGAGGCTAGGCGGGTCTGGACCCCAAAGACAGACTAAATCCTCCCGAGACTTCAACAGTCGACTTAACCCACGTAAGAGGTTAGCCAGGCCCGGAAGTTGCCTGTCACCTTGGCTCAAAATAGGGGTTAACTACAGGCCACAGAAAACATGTCAGACAAGCCTCCGAAACTATTCCTATGCACTCCACTAGCGGGTGGCCGACCTTCGGCTGTAAGGCCGCACAGTCGTGTGCAGATGCGGCATCAGCCGCCTCTTTGCCTAGGACATGGCGACCAGCTGGCAGCCACATCCGTCCAAGGTCGCTGTTGGTCGCCAGCAAGCGCCCATCCTAGGTACGCTAGCGGCCCACTGCCGCTCTCACACACAGCCACACAACGTGTATTACAGGAAACCCGAGCGGATTACGCCCAGCCGCAACGGCCTCCAGGACCCTCTCACGCGGGGCGCACGACGCGGAAGTGCGGCAACAAACTCTCCGCGATGCGAGGAGTCTTCCTGCGAGCTGTTCATCTAGATTCTAGCTCGATCCCAGGTAGCAAGTCCCAAACAGCCGCCAGTCCTCGGTAGTTTGTACTTCTTCACCACCGCATGGGCAAGGTCCAGAAAGGAATCCAGGCCCCACTTATGGGGAACATCTATGCCCTGGGCGCATGACATCCGTGCTTAGCAGGTCAGCCGGTAACGTGATTCGTCCCGGTGTCTACTCACCCCTCCCCCCCGAGCATTCATTCACAGCGGTCAGACGACGGCACCACCAAGACCGTAGCTTACCGCGATGTCTTTATACTGCGGCAGGGTCGCGTAGTGTCCGACGCAGGCAAACTCAAGACATCCATGAACCTCTGGCCCCATCTCACCTCGGCAATTTGTAGAGTTGCAAGTCACTACGGCGCTCAGTGGGCGAGAGTGGGAGCCTGCGACAAGGCACTGACTGTTTCTAAGCAGGATAGTGGTCGCCGCGCCTCGGGCTAGCACCGTTGCTCAGTCGGATTCGCTTGCCTGACCGGCCCCCGCGCCTGCGAAGGGCGTTCCACATCTCAAGTGTTGTGCACGGCTCACTGAGGCGGCGGCGAGACGGCCCAGACCAGAATGAGCGCCAACATTCGGAGGCAAAGCATGCTTATGGGTCTCCCGAGCAGCGGACGATTGAGTTCTTTGGCCCACACTGCGGCGGCGAGGTGCCATAGAGCGAACCCGACATCGAGTCCGGTGCAAGAGAGCCGCGTTTCTTCTCGGATTTGGCCGTGCTGTTGGCGCTCGCGGGGACTGGGTCCGCGCCGCAAGCCCAAATCGGCTGTCCCCGACTACGGCTAGTACATATACTCGAAAAGCTCCAGGTGGCCTTAGCAATACCGCTACAGGGTGGTACAAAAAACTACGCAGAGGTGCTAACACCCAGACGTTGCCGACCTGTCTTACGTGCTGTCGGTCTCCTCCGCCGAGTGATCTTCCTTCGATCGGCTCACATCCAGATCTACCGCCGGGTAGGGCTCGGCCACGGACCGAGACTCGGATCCTGTACGACCATGGACCATCGCACGCACACACGTACACACACACACACAAGCACTGACAAGCACACACACACACACACACATACACACACACACACACACACACAGCGTGGGATGCAAAAGCCCCATGAAACGCCACAAGCACCAGGTACGGCTCTATGCCTTGCCGACTTACAATCCTATACTGAACTTAGAACCCTAGCAACAATTACAATTCTAGCTGTTTCTTAGGGATTATAATAACCAAAAAAAAGTATTTCTAAGTACCCCTAAGAATCGGTTACAGGGTTTTCGGACTCAGGAGTTCAAGTCGTTTTGGCAATTTCAGTATGCTCTGAACGTTCAGGGTGGTACTTCAGGGACAAGGAGACTTCACACATCGCCTAATATCTGAGTCAGAGTTTCGACAAACCCCTCTCTTGCCCTGGCGATACAAACAGAGTGCAGCCGGTGTTGTGGGATCTACGGTTTTCGGACTACGATGCCCGGAAATCTAAATCCTGAACCCAACACCGAAACACACACCGAAACTGACAGCACACAAAGCGCCGGGGCATCACAGGGACTGCAACGTTAAAACATGGAAGCCCCTGCCGCCTCTATCGTAATTCAAAGATCAAGTAATATAAGAGTTAAGCAGCGAGACCGATCCTGGTGGTGGTGCTGCTGCTGGCACTGACTCCGCGCTAGTTCTGTTGCTCTTACTGGTGCCAGAGCCGGATCTGGCAGCTGTTCTTCCGAATATTGCTTCCGCTGTTCCCATGGCCGAGTCTTTGAAATATTGTTCTTCCTAGTCTTTCTGACTGCGTAAGTAGTACTCTCTGCATTCATCCGTGCAACAGCCTTCACGATTGCTTCTCGCTCCTTTTCTATGACATGCCCGAAACCCGAAACCCCTCAACCCTAAACTCTAAACCCCTAAACCCCCCAACCCTCGACCCTCAACCCGAAACCCCTAAACCCCAAACCCTCAACCCCGTAAACCCTAAACCCTCAACCCCCTAAACCCTAAACCCCCTAAACCTTCTGTGCGGCAAGTGGCCACTTGGTGGCAGCCGCAGGCTTGCGGGCACCAATGTGCAAGCGGGGAGTAGAACACACTGCCTGGCAGGGCCATTAACAGGAGTTTCGAAGCAGCTCACGATGTCAACACTCCTAGGGGTGCAGATGCTGCTAATTGTTAATGCTTTGTTTTGTGTGCAAACTTGCGAAAGGGCAGCGTCCTTGCAGTGGAACAGATCCACTGAATTTAACAACTGTCTGGTTCCTTGTAGGGAAAGGGGGAATGGATGATGGAGACTATTATTGGGGATTATATAGGGACTACTATAGGGATCCATTCCCCCATTCCTTACCCTAGACCCAAGCCCTTATCCTAAATCCCTAAACCCCTAAACCGAGTATCTCATTCGCCCCATCAAAGACGGTTTTAGGGTTCAGGGATTGTAACAAAGGCATCAAACTGATCCGGGCTTAGGGGGCTAAGACCTGTTTTCTTTCTATGTCTTTATCCTCCAAACAACCCGAAAACCGGCACTCGAAGCTCCAAGCCCTAAACCGTGTCTGTAAACCATCGACCTCTCAACCGTCAATGAAGCGGCCTGATATGAAGGCCTTAACCGTCAGGATATGCGGTTGTGAAAGGGGTCTTCACGGTTCTTGCTATAGGATCCTGGCTGATCAAAATGGGGATCAAGTGCATACTATAGTTTAAACTTAAACCACTATTACCAGGTGTTCAGACCTTCACGTTACAAACCCAGAGCGAAACCCCGCAAGCAAGAAACACTACCCGGGTGCGCAAATCAATTGATTTGCTCTCTTGCTCCACTATTAACCAGGGCATAAACCCTAAACCCTAAACCCTGAACCCTAAACCCTAAACCCTAAACCCTAAACCCAACGCGAAGTTCCATCAGCCCACAAGTTTAAACGTTTGGCACTGTGGAACCAAGTCATATCTTACGTAACATCTGATGCAAAACGGTTTAGGGTTTAGGGTTTAGGGTTTAGGGTATCAGACATGCATAATCCGTGAACGCTGAAACACCCAAAGCCTGAACTCCAAAACTGTGGACTCGAAACTCTAAACATTTAAAGAGCACTCAACCGTTACCTGAGCCCAAACTCACAACCCGAAACCTCAAACCCTAAACCCCAAAACCGTAGCCTCTCTAAACCCTAAACCCTAAACCCTAAACCCTAAACCCTAAACCCTAAACCCTAAACCCTAAACCCTAAACCCTAAACTCTAACTCAATCACAGGGCCCCAAAGATTCAAACTTTGAGTGAGGATGTAATATGCAACCCCAATAAGATTGCACTCCTTCCACTGAGGAAGTAAGACCCTAAACCATTAAACCTAAACCCTAAACTATAAACCCTAAACCCCTAAACCCCTAAATCCCTAAACCCCTAAAACCCTAAACCCTAAAAACCAAACCCTAAACCTTGAAGCCCTAAACCCACAAGTCCAACCATACGCCGCCGACGGCGCCCGACCTCCCTCCCTCCTTCCCTCCCTCCCTCGCTCCTTCCCTGCCTCCCTCCCTTCCTTCCTTCCCTCCCTCCTTCCCTCCCTCCCCCCAACCTCCGCACCAGGAGCTGCGTAGCACAGGATCCTGAGCCGAGACTGTGAGACCTGGCTAGGGCGATGGTTTCCGAAAACTAGGGGCACCTTTAAAGGGATCTATAAAGGTTCCTTTAAGGGATCTACAAGGGGTTCTATAAAGGGTTTAGGGTTTAGAGCTTCCGAATATTGGGTGTACCTTATTGGGGGGTCCTTATAATCAGGATATGTAAGGATAGTATTTGGGGTACTATGTTAGGGTCCCCCATTCTCGGAAACCCCCACCATAAGGTGTAGGGGTTTAGGGTTGAGGGTTTCTGGAGGTTTAGCGGTTTGGGACTTTGGTCGCTTAGGGTTCAGCGGTCGATGGGTTTTAGGGGCCTAGGGCTTTTTTTTACAGTGCAAAGGGTTTAGGGTTTAGGGTTTCTTTCTGCTCCGCATGAGAGTAAGGCCTACGGGTTTAGGCTGTTTAGGGTTTTGGGTTTTGGGTTTTGGGGGGTTAGGGGTTGGCGTGGTGCGGATGTTGTAAGGCGCACGGGGCTTTGGGACCAGTCTGAGCACGTACACCTGCAAGAACGGGCTGTGGGGTCGAAACTGGCTCAAGGGACTCTGGAACGCATTTGGACTTCACCCTTCATGGTCTCAGGTTCCCAAATCATCTTAATTGCTGAGTTCATAAGCCCGACAAAGTGTACACTTTCAGTTTTATAGTGGGTAATACTATCCCAAAAGGTGTAAAGTGTATCCGCTCAGCTAGTAAGAACATTTTTAACACCGACCCGCTTGCGTGCGATGTAAACCGCGATCACCGCTTCCACTGCCACACCGCCACGGCCAGCAGTGAAACCACAACCAGCATAAGCAACGGCAACACAACCTCGACTGTAATGTAGGAACCTGATTGAGAAGCCCTGGGCCTATCATCCCAAAATGATGGGATTCATATTGAAGAACCCTAATCAAGGCCCAAGGTTTCCTACCTAATCAAGTTCCCACGTTAACAGCAACGGTGGTCCCTAAACCCCAATCCCTAAACCCTAAAGTTCTAAACCCTAAACCCTCCACCCCAAACCCTAAACTCCTAAACCCTACACCCTAAACCCTATACACCCTAAACCCTAAACATCCTAAACCCTAAACCCTAAACATCCTAAACCCTAAACCCTAAACATCCTAAACCCTAAACCCTAAACATCCTAAACCCTAAACCCTATATATCCTAAACCCTAAACCCTAAAGTTCTAAACCCTAAACCCTAAAGTTCTAAACCCTAAACCCTAAAGTTCTAGAGCCTGGAAGCTGCCATGCCGAAGTCTCTTCTCAAAACCCCTACCCCTGCCAAGCCTGCCCTGCATAGGGTTCCTTTAAAGGGATCTATAAGGGTACCTTGAAGGGGTTCCTTTAAGGGATCTATAGGGTTTTAGGGTTTAGGGTTGATGATATAAATCCTGCATGGCCCATAATGAGGAGTATCCCATAACTCCCATAGGTTAGGGTCCTTAAGGTAATGCAGGATTTATATCATCAACCGTAGGGACCAGGCAAGTCGATGATGGAGGGTTTAGAGTTTTGGGTAGTGTTCGTCTCTGTGGACTTTCGAATCAGAACTCTCATGAAGGCTTAAACGGTGTGTGCGGGTGGCTTATACTATAATCAGAGCTTTGCCTAAACTCTCAAGCCCAGCACCTGAACACGAAAACCTGAAATCCCATCATCGTTGGCAGCTCTGCAGACCAGGGAATAACCCTTAGGCCAGGAATACGGCATCTTTAAGCCAAAAAAGCTTGCACCTAAGAACCCTGAAAACTCAAAAAAAGTTCAGAGCTTACAGTTCACCTTTACCGCTGCCAAAACGTTTGCCCTCTTACGCCACCCGCTTGCCCTTATGGTTTAGGGTGTAGTCTTGTGGCGCACTGGCCTTCGCAACCCACTTGCTTGATATACTCAATCCAATCTGGGAGGTAGCTGAGGCTTGCCGAGGTGTTGAAGTCCACCCTTGGAGTGTGCCGAGGGTTCAGGGGGGCGGGCTTGCGAGTGTAGTGCTCGGGACTTATAATATAATGGTATTTTCCGAAAGTTAGGGGTACCTTATTTTGGGGTCCTTACAATAGGGATCCCACTATTTAGGGTATGCTATTAAGGTCCCCTATTTTCGGATACTCTCATATACTAAACCCTAAACCCTAAACCATAAGAGTTGAGGGTGCCGGGTTCAAGATTTAGGGCTTAGGCCTCGGGAGCCGCAGCGTTTGGTTGTTCAGACCCTGAGCATGCGGGTCCCTGAAGCCTGCTTGGAGGATCGGAGGAAGTTTCGTAACAATTCAAAAGTAGAGAGTTGTAGGTGGTCTAAGTGGGATACTGATTGCGGTCTTGATCCTTCAAAGAACCTATTGTAAAAACTACTTACCGTCCCCCGACCCTCCAAGTACACCCTCAGTGGTGGCTTTGACTTGGACCATATAAGCCTTGCTGTCAACTCGATCCTTTAAGGTTCTGGAAACAGAAAGGGACCTATCTGAAGCCATAAACCCTATACCCTAAATGCTAAAACGTTACCCCTCGTATACTACGGCTGATGATATAAATCCTGCATTACCTTAAGGACCCTAAACTATGGGAATTATGGTATATTCCTTATTATGGGCCATGCAGGATTTGTATCATCAACCCTAAACCCTAAAACCCTATAGATCCCTTAAAGGAACCCCTTAAAGGTACCCTTATAGATCCCTTTAAAGGAACCCTATAGGGTTTTATAAGTCTATTATGGGAACCTCTAGGACTGGAGGCGATAGGCTGTAGTGTTTGTAGGGTTTAGGGTTTAGGGTTTAGGGTAGTGTCATTTAGAAGGGGCCCACACCCTGTAATAGTGGTATAATAGGAATATAAGAGGGCCCTAGTATAATCCTTGTAGTCACTATTACAGGGTGGGGGCCCCTTCTAAGGTGTCATGTAGTTGAAGGGTTGAGGGTTCTGAGATTAGGGTTTAGAGTGCCACCCAAACAAAAATCAGTGAAGACTGCTACATACGTACATAACAGACGAAGGAAAGTAAAGTGTGTCAAACCCCAAAAACATTCTAAGCCCCAACATCCGAAACCCACAACCCAAAAACTCAACTCGCAAAAAAAAACGAAACCCAAGACCCAAAATCCAAAAAGCCTAAAATCAAACACCCAAGGGCCAAATTCAAAACCCAAACTCCAAAACACGAAGGGCCTTTGGGTCAACTCTTTAGGTTGCGGATTTTTACGGTTTAGGGTTTAGGGTTTAGGGTTTAGGGTTTAGGGTTTAGGGTTTAGGGTTTAGGGTTTAGGGTTTAGGGTTTAGGGTTTAGGGTTTAGGGTTTAGGGTTTAGGGTTTAGGGTTTAGGGTTCTGGGTATGCCTGGAGGATCATGGGACTTAGTAACTAGGGTTATGCATAAGGTAACTATAGTTATATTTGCTTATAACCCCAAAGAGGGTGCTTGTAACCGTACTTACGAGGTCCCATGATCCTCCAAGTATGGGATCTCTGGGTGTGTGCGTATGGGCATAAACACCCCACGTGTGCTGGGCCTGAGCATTCATTGAAAACTTAGAACTAATGAGACGTAACCGAACCCGGATTTGAGGGGGCAATGGAACGATTGAAATTTCTATGGGCTTGAACTGACCAGGTTTTCAGTCTAGGTTTAGGAGCGGAAGATCAAGACCAGCTTCGATTCAACCCAGGTAGAGCGACACTTAAACTCGGAACCCTAAGCCCTTGTACCCCAAACACCGCGCCCTAAACCCTAAACCCTGAACCCGACACCCTCATGATACCCCGAACCCTAAGCCCACCGAAATCCTAGACCCCTCAAGCCTAGAAAAGCTTCGTTTCTAGTCCGTGCCTTCATGTTCACAATTCTCTAGGGTTCAGGGTAGACGGTTTCGGGAACATCGGGTTTAGGGCTTAGAGTTTACAGGGTTTAGGGTTTGGGGTTTATCGCTGCCTTGAGGAGCAGGATCCCGAAACCCCCCAACACCTCATGATCGGTAAAAAACCCCTACATCCTTAACACCTAAACCTTAAAATTCCTAACTCCTAAATCTTACTAAATCGAAAGACCCCCAAATCCTGGACCTTATAAATAAGTTCTCCAGATGGTGAGTTGATTGCCGGCGTTTCGCGGGTTCCGACTGCAGTATGGAAGCCTGAATGAGTAGCGATACTATTTGTCAGGGATCCTTACAATAAACATCAGTCCCTATACCCCCCCTTAATTATGTTAGCCTTTAATGAAACCCCTTCAGGAACCCTTGACAGGAACTCTATTCCAATTCTCAAGGCCCCGTTTGAAGAATTGCGGGTGTCGGATCCAGTGCGATTCCCAATGCCACTCAACATCATATGCTTAGTACGGCATTCTCACCTATAGAGATTCTTGGTCCTCTCCTCATCCTCAGGACATCTCAATTTCCTCGGCAAATATTTCAGAACCTCTTGTGTCTCCTTTGTCGTCCTGCTCGTCGCCGCTTCGACGGCATCTCTCCCTTGACGAACAGACGGCCTTGAACTCCGTCACGGTCTTCAGACTTCTCAGCCTTTCACTGTCTGGTGCTTAGAAGGGTATGGGGGAATGGATCCATATAGCATATAGTCCCTAGACAACTAGACAATCCCCAATAATAGTCTCCACAATCCATTCCCCCATTCCCTACTAAGAACCAGACAGATCAGGCTAGGTACGGGCTTAGGCCTGCACCCAATAAAGAGCTCACGTGGAGGTTTAGGCCTAGACTGCCTTAACCCAGCGAAGAGCTCAAGTAGAGATTTAAGCCTGAACTGCATAAATCCCGCAAATGGACCCTGAACCTCCGGACTCTCCGACTCTTGGAATTTCCATATTACTTGCTACAGATCTTTATTGTCGTACTTCAGATTATATTCCGTAACAAGTAGAAACAATTAGACCCTAAACCCTAAACCCTGTAGCAGACCCGAACCTCTCCGGACTCATCCCACGATCCCGACCGAGACACGAAAGCCTCTTGTTGATGAGGGGTCTGTACGTGTCCCAGAACATTTCCCAATCCTGGTCCGCGAGTTAGGGTTCTTTTTCGTTTCTCCGACTGTGTGCAGCTAGAACTCCAGGGTTTAACGTTTAGGATTTATTTGGATTTAAACGGTTTTTGAAAAGACTCTATAGGCTTCATGGGGTTGCATAGTTACGGGTTCAAGCTGGGATCCGGGTCCAGCTGTGCAGGAGTAGTGCCTGAACCCCTGACACGTAAAGATCCAGACCATAGGCATCTCACCTAACCCCGAGCCCTTGTTTTGTTGGACGTGCTAGATTCGGAGTAAGCTTTTCTAGTCCATGCATTAGATAGCATTCTGAGTTTGAATCTCTGTTCCTTCTTGGGTTTAAGTACCCATGCACATGTAAAGCGTTGCCCAACTATGACAAAGATTTCTTTCTGGTATCCCCATAAAGAGATCTATCATCGAAACTCACCAAGACCCCTGAAGCGGACACGCTCACGGGTGCTTACAACCTTGAAGTCTTGCCAGGAGGCATTTTTGCAGAGAGCCCACTCGCCGGAACAAACAGTATATTCCTAATCATGACTGCCCCCGAAATCCTAGCCCGAAGTTTTAAATGCTAAAGGGGTATCGGTATCGGCATCCATCAATTCCATGCTCCGGGTTCCCTTTCGGTCGCGATTAGCCAAGTAGAACCCGAAAGCAACCCAAAAGCAATAACAAACAAATCAGAATCCTCCTAGAACTAAATGCCTAAACCCCGCAACCACAAACCCTGAACCTCTAAACCCTAGACCCTAAACCGTAGATGACTACCTCGAAACCCGCAACTCAAAAGCCTCGCCTGTCGACGGGTCGCAGAAGAGTTGAGGTCCACATCCTGGAGCCACTTGGAGGATCGTGGGACGTAGTAACTATAGGGCTTAAGGGATTCATAGGAGCACTATAAGCGCTGCAAGTTCAAGGTTATTTAGGGTTTCATTGGGGTGCTTGGAGGATCCTTGGACTTCGCAAGTAAGGTTAGAAGTACCTTAACTGGAGTCCTCCGTGGCTTTTCTATAGCTATCTTTTTTATAACCCTAAACCCTAAACCTTAACTACCCGATATCATTACCCTATGTATCACCCGAGTTACTAGGTCCGATGATCGTCGAAGCAAGGCATAGCGCAGCGAAGGCATTTTGTCCCGAGCAGTAGCAGGTCGAGCATCGCCAGGTTTGGGGTTTTGGGGTTGGGCTTTCGGGGTTTTAGGGGTGTGAGGGGCTTTAAGGGTTTAGAGGGTTTCGGGGTTTTAGGGTTTTAGCGTTTTAGGGGTTTAGGGGTTTAGGAGTTTAGGGGTTTAGGGTTTAGGGGTTTTAGGGGTGTAGGGGTTTAAGGGCTTTAGGGGTGTAGGGGTTTAGGGGTGTAAGGGTGTGGGGGTTTGGGGGTTTGGGGGTTTGGGGGTTTAGGGCTTTATGGGCTTTACGGGTTTAGGGCTTTATGGGCTTTATGGGTTTAGGGGTTTTGGGGGTTTAAGGGTTTAAAGGTTTAGGGGTTTTGGGATTATGGATTTGGGTTTCGGGTTTAGAGATTTGGGGGTTTAGGGGTGTGCCATGCCTGACACGCGGCTGCTTGTTGCCCGCCCGACCCACCTGAGGTTCCTTGTGTATTCAGTTCTATCGTTGTCTAAATTTTTTATAGTACAAAAATACAACAAACACAAGCAATAGGATCCAGATGCCGAGATTCGCACCAGCTATACATCGCACGGAAGTTAAATTGTAGCCGAAGGATGCAACTTAACTTATGCACAGATGCTTGATAGCGAATGTTTAAGTAGATGTGTAAAGTGAATGAGAAGGACATCTGGATCCACTGTGATGACCTCCATCCGATCAACAGTTGTGGAAAGACATTGGGAATTCTTTGTTCAATGTCATACATTTCGCGCATCACCTCTGCGCTTGCATGCAGCATTGATGTCTTGCTGATTTTTCAAGCAGGTTTGTTGGGCATGAGAGCACAAAACATCGACGACAGGAACACGATGCATACGGGAGAACCAATATGGGGGAGGCCGGGCGTCTCGCCTACGGGCGGGACGCGCTCGGACCTGCAGCAGACACACAGCCTCCACTCAAGAAAGATAATTGCACTCGAATGCCAACCATCGTGGCAGCTCTGGAAACAACTTTGGATCGTTAAGTGTTGGAACTTGGGTTCCAGCGCCAACATATCAAGCTTTCGGCCTAAGGCACCCTGCCAATGGTCTGAAGCTTTACCACAGTGATCTTGAAGCTTTCAACTTCGAAATATGAAGGTTTTAGCTTGGGGCTCCCGCTTCCGGCACCGCCGTGGTCGCTGGGGGTGCCGGCAATGGTTTCGAGGATTAAAGGTGGAGGTATCAAGCTTTCGGCCTGGGGCTCCCGCTGCCGTTTACTGGTCCGGAGAATTTAAGCGTCGAAATAGCAAGCCTTCGGCCTGGGCCAGCCATCCGCTGTCGGCAGTGTTCTGAAAAACCTGCCCAGCCACAGATTGGATTTCATTGAAATATGTACTTCATCGAAAAAACATCGGAACAATCATCGACAGAATCATCGATCCATCAAACAATCATCGAAACAATCATCGACACAATCATCGACCCATCAAACAATCATCGAAAGCATCATCGACAGAATCATCGACAAAATCATCGATCCATCGAACAATCACCGACAGAATCATGGAAATAATCATCGATCCGTCGATCAATCATCGGAACAAGTATCAACAGAATCATCGAAACCGTCATCGACAACTCATCGGTGGAAACATGCTGTTCAGGTTCCCGCTTGAAAACATCATCAAGAGTCACGGAAAACCATCGGCTTTTGAAAGGCCATTCTGCTCGTAACACATCTCAGAAAGACACAACTTTCATCAGCAATAAAGCACGGAGCACATTATTGGTGGAACCTTATCCCCCGGCCAGCCCGTTTCTGCACCAGCACCGCAAGACAGGAATACTCCCGAATGCAGAAATCCTCGCACAAATGACAGGGATTCGCATCCAGCAGCTTGGTTTGGGCATGAATGCAAACAAGCATTGCTTGTGATCTCCGTTTCAGAGGGCTTGCTGAACCACAAACCACAAATCCTGTCATGCCATGCGGAAGTTCAGGTCGCTGTGATTTACAGTAAACTCCACGAGTTATTCATAATCCCAAGGTCCCGACATCATTTGCGCTTGGTACACATTAGCAACGCACCCTGACCCTGACCATGCCGAGGACTGCACAAGGCAAGATCTCAGATCACACCTCTTACTAACTCAGTAAGGACATGTCGAAGCAACCTAGACCTCCCAATGCCGCAGTGACTGCAACACGCAACATAGAACCCGCTGCATTAGTGCATTCTCAACCACATTTGAGGCTGGTCGTCTGTACTCAGTACATGCTAACACTTATGAAAGAAATTCAATTAGGTCTATTCGGTCCAAGGCCAACAACCACGGCTTAAGGCTTAACGTAATTCGGAGCTGGCAGCAACCATGGGCAGTGTTCGCACATATGGTGAACCGTGAATGCTAACAAATAATTTCCCATGACCCCTAGCCCAAGCCAAACCACACTGGACGATGATGGCTGTCATCTCGTTTGGGACGGCGCCCTCGCAGCGCTCTCAGTCTTTGCGGGCCAGAAATGGCCCCGAATCTTGAAAATGCAAACAGCTGCTCAGCTCGCATTCTGTCAGCACCACTAGTCCGTAATCTGAATCACAGTAACATGATTTATAGAACCTGCGCAATACGATGTATTCAGACTGCAATCTACAGGAAGCTAGCATGACACTGAAAACTGTACTAGTACAAATTTCTTAGAAGTTTATAATAGGTTCACCTGCATGAGCACGAGCACTGCCTGAACTCCTAGCTATAGACTCGGCTCCGCACTGCAGCTCCAACAAACACATGTCACACATCCGCTTCAACCTAGAGCTGTGGTGTGGTGGAGTGTAAGGCTGAATATGAGTTATGTACCCGGGGCTGAGCATGAGTGGCGAGTCCTCCGTGACTTCTTGAATGGTGAACGTCTTCTTCTGAAGGAGACATGTGCAAGCTGTGCCGTATGCACTTGCCAGCATGTCTGTGCCAGCAGCACCGAGTGTCCATCTGGTGGATGATGGACTCATGCTTCTGCACAAGCTCACGTAGCATAGAATTCGGAATGATAGTCCGCCCCTGCAAAGCAAGCATAACTGCTTCGGTGACATAGTTGGCCCGCAACTTTGTCAAGCCCTTGATGCCATCGAATGAAAAGGTGTTGTTAATGAAATCCATATCAGCATGCTCGCGAAGTGCCGGGTGCAACTCACCCCAGCTGTTTGCGGTGTAACCGGCTAGAATCTTGGAAGCGGCAACAACAGCAGGCGCAAGATCGATCGAGACGAACTGGCACAGCTGGAAAACCACATCCACGACATCGGCACAACCTTGATGCACCACACATGAGTCGCTATTGGTCCTGCAACAGGCACAGTGAACGGTGCAACGTCCGCACAACAATGCACAATGCACATGACATGGCAATGGCAGCGCAGCGAGCTTATGACATTCGCAATGCCACGCTGCCACTTGCAATCTCAGACAAACAAACTCAAACACAAGCATTGATCACTGGTCCTGTGCTCTCCGCAGCTGCACATGGTCTCCCATCGCGCCGTGATCTTGTTGAAGGTCATATGTTTCGTGATTGTGTCTTGCAAGGGATTGGTAAGCTTTGTTGAAGCAATCTCAGACCGAACCCATGAAACCAAATTCGGCAGCAGCGCATCCAGATTCTTGTCCTCCAGTGCTTGCAACACGTGCGACATGTCGCTACTCGAAACGGAACCTGTGCTGGCCGAAGGCAGCACCATGGCGTCCGACAGACGCTGCACAAGCTGATCATCCGTGCTGCATCCACTGCTTGTGATCAGGGTGCGCGACGTTGTCATTGCCTGACGCTTTCCATGGTGAAATATACAGCAACCTTCCTTGCGCTAGCTGCGACCTGTGCATTCGTCCTAGCTGCTAGCTACTGAGCCACTGACGGCTGGCAGTGAGACTGCCTCGCAAAACTGAACTCAAACTGGCGACTCGAATCTAATCTAACTGCTAGCTAGCTGCTGGGTAGCTAGTGTGGCTAGTTCAGGATGGAACTGGCCAGGCGAAACAAGGATGGCGCAAAGTCAGCATTGGACACTCCCCAACTTTTAGAAACAAGAAAGGACATCTGCTTCTGCAGCGGCACCTTGGCAGAGTTGATACAGTCACGAAAAGATAGACACAACAGTGTAGAAAACACGGCTACACGGCTTGAAACGGCTTTGACGGCTGAAGCTGCTGGTTTTGGCCACAACTGTGCAGAAAAGTGACACGGCGGAGCACGAGGCAAAGCTTTGCCCAAAAAGTTGTAACAAGCTGTCTGGTCTTGCGAAGCAGTCAAAAGTGCGGAAGACGGTCCACGGATCTGCACAGGCTGACCGAAAATTAGTGAAACTGGGCTTCACAAGACCACGTGCACGACGCTACAGGTCCGCACGGCGAGGATCCAACACTTCTATAGATGTTTTCCTTCGGGTGCCAGCGTAGAGTCGCTTGCCAGCTCTATATATCCCATCATGGGGTCAATGCCGCTCTTCACTCCTGTCATGGAGCCACAACCTTCCTTGAACCTTCGGACCCAAACTTCTGCTCAGGCAGGGGCTTGACCGTCAGGCCTCCTGAAATGCAGGATGAGACGTACGCTGTTGAGTGCATGTGCCAGAAGGGTGGAGACATGCAATCGGAATCATCGCCTTCGCCTGCTTCTCAAGGTCTTCCTTGACTTGTGCGCTTCAGGCTCCTTGGCCGCACACTTCGATGCATGTGCCCCTTCAATGATGTGGATCGGGGTAGAACCCTGAACTTCCCTCACAGGATAGGATATGTTTCCGGTATTCCAATACGTATTGTAGGTATGTTGCCCGCAGTGGAAAGTGTGAACACCGAGTAGCTCAATGTGCGGTGGTGTAAGTTGAATATGTCACAGAAGGTTGCCATGGACAGGTACTATTGCCATTCACGCCTGTACCTAGAGACGGCTCACGCTCGGCTTGTACATCGCAAGCTGGACGGGTCTCCCAGATCCCTTCCAGGTCGGGGTGCCCTGTTACCAAGAGCCGGGTGCGCGGCGGACCGCCAGTGTTACTCGACCACTCGACCACTAACAGGTTGCCAACAGCGGCTAGAAGGGGAGGAAAGAAAAGCTGTCCTGCTTTCACGCTTGCAAGCGTCCAGCTGGAGCCAAAACGTCCGCATTTAGGGAATCTATACACGCCAGAATGCAACTCACTTAAATAGTGTTACAGAGGCTGACGTCATTGCCAGTTTGGCGGCATATTTCGTCAGTCGTCGATGTATATCTCACAAGCGGAATCGTTCCCAAGGTATTTGCCATCCTCGTTGTCAGTAGTGATTCGTCCGTACCTTGCCACGGAAGAGAGTATGTTCCCTGGTCTATGTTAGTGGTCTGGAGGTTATAAAGGTCGAAGTAGCAAGCTTTCGGCCTCGGGCTCCCGTTGCCGGAAGCGGTCTGGAGGATTGCAAGCTTTCGGCTTGAGCCACCAGCTGCCGCAAGTGGTCTGGAAGATTTACTTACACGTCGAAGTAGCAAGCTTTCGGCCTGAGCCACCCGCTGGCGTCAGCGCTCTCGAAGCTTTAAACGTCGTGGGGTTTCCGGCTATCTGGGCCCGCTTTGACATTTAGGATTTTGGACTTAGGATTTTAGGTTTTGGATTTCGGATTTTAGGTTTTGGACTTTGGGTTTTGGATTTTGGCTTGCGGGTTTTTGGATTTTGGCCTTTGGGTCACAAAGGGCTTGGGCTTGAATTTTGGCCTGGGGCTCCCGCTTCCGCCCACTGCGAGCCGTTGAAGCCCACAAGTTTTGCTAGATTTATGGGTGTTGGGGGCCGCTTAGCATGAAGATTTTGGATTTAGGATATTGTGCTTTAGGTGTTTCAGACTCCTGCCGCTTTAGGATTTTAGGGTTTTGGGGATTAGGATCTTAAGTTTTTGGAGGCATCGGATTTTAGAATCTTAGCGGGCTTGGCGTTTTAGGACTTTACGTGTTTTGGGGCATTAGCATTTTAGGATTTTTGGTGCCGCAGAAGGGCCCGAGTATGAAGTATTAAGGTCTGTTCTTTATAGGGAGTCGTCATTGAGTCAGTGGATGATTGCCGAGGATGAAAGGCTGCAGAGGCTTCACCCTCCGCAGTGATGTGCCTAAGCGGCTCTCTGATCGATCGCGGGCCGCTTCACGACTAGGTCGCGCTCGCGGCCATGACTTTAGGGGTTTGGGGGTTTCGGGGTTTATGGATTTGGGGGTTTAGGGGTTTAGGGTTTAGGGGCTTAGGGGTTTTCGGGGTTCTAGAGGTTGCAGGTTTAGGTGTTTCGGGGTTTAGGGATTTAGGTTGGGGGGTTGGGGGTTTGGAGGTTTAGGGGTTGAGGGGTTTAGGGTCTGGGGTTGCCCCACGGTCCCTGTTCTTCTAGTTTCAGACTACCCTCATAAATCGAATCCCCTAAAAGAACCCCCGACCAGAGCTCTGTCCTGCCCAGTCTAACGCCGACAGCCCCTAAGATGTACCTTCACCTACCAAAACCTACAAAAAAGTAGGGTCCCTATAAGTTCCATATTAGGGAGTCAGAACCTGCAAAAAGGTAGGGTTTGGTAGGTTAAGGTAGGCCTCTTGGGAGGTTCCTTGAAGGGTTCCTTGAAGGCTCAGGCCTGGGGTCTTGAAGCTCTTAGAGCATAGCTTTTAGGGCTTAGTCCAAGCATGGTACACCCTCTGATCTAGCAAATCTAACCTGGCTTTCTAGGTCCCATGATCCGGTTTAGGGTTTAGGGTAACCCTAAACCATAAACCCTAAAACCGCAGTCATCTTCGCGGCCCTTTCAAGCTTCGAGTCTCAGTCATGTCAGGATTTCTGGATGACGTGACCCATTCAATGAAAAGAACCCTGGCCTCCATTAAACGCCTGGAAACCCCTAAACCCCAAAACCCTAAGCCCTTACACCCCAAACCCGAAACCCTCGTCTCGAATCTAGAAGACTCTGGAGAGTTTGGCAAGCTCGCCAGCAGGATCGTCAAGTGCTAGTTCAAAACATGGCCGGGTTGAGGGTTGAGGGCTCAGACTGGAACCTTAGTCGTATACCCCAAACGGCCCTTGCAAAATACCTCTGCTAGGGAGCCCTATAAGAAGTGCAAAACCCTAAATCCTAAATAAGAACCCCGAGAACAATGAGAGTAGGTAGGTCGCTAAGTTCCTAGGTGGGCATTTGTCAACATTAGGATGCCTTCTGGGGTCTTTTGTAGAAGGGTGCCGTATCATTTTGGGACCTGCAAAGTGACCCTAATTTGGAGAACTATGCAGGTCCTGGCAAGCTGAAAACCGTATGATCTCTGCGATGGTAACTTACCTCACATGCCTTAACAGTTAGACATGTTTAGACCCGAAACCCAGACACCCGGGAGGATCCAAAAAGTAGATCCCTTAATGGGGGTTCCTATAAAGTACCCTTAGTAGTATAGGGCCCCAGATTAGGGGATCTACTTTCCCTCATAGATCCCTAAACCCTAAACGCTAAGGGATCCCATCAAGGAGCCCTTTAAGGAACCCTGCTAAGTCTACTTTCTAGATAGATCCTCGCGGAAATCGGGGAAGCCATGGTCCTGGCAGGCTGAAAACCGCATCTTGTCCCTCTGCTCGTTGTCACAGGCTTTCGAGCAGCCCTCCCCAAGCACCTGCGCTTACGGCTCTGGGGTGCTGGGACTAGATTCGGGGCTCCTTTTTTGGGGGCTTAGGGCTTATTAGGGCTTAACAGCTCGTCCTCAATCACAGCCCACGTTTGGGTTAGGCTTGACAAGCACGAAGAGGCAGGTCAAAAGGCAACGCCCAGATCTCGAGCCCAGATGAGCGAGGTTGCCAGGTGTTGCCAGGCCAACGCAAGGGAGTATGGTTCGGGTGTTCCCGGCCTTGGATGGGTCAAAATGACACCTCTTGAAGGATCACGGGACTTAGTAACTGAGGTTCTTATTAGGGTTACTATACTTCTAACTACTTATAACCCCAATTACGGTACTTGTAGCCATACTTAGTAAGTCCCATGATCCTCCAAGCTGGGAGCGGGAGGGCCTTGGGAGGGCCCGCCCTGGTGAGGAGGACAAAACTGCCGGCCTCACTCGCAAAACATCGCGCTGGATGTGCATTACGGGAGACTATGGTCTTTGGGCCCATAAGCCTTAGAATCTGAGTCCTTAGAGCCTAAGGGTTAGTTCGGATAGTATCAAAGAGTCCCATGTCTAATCCTTCTTGGGTTTAAAAGGATAGCGCAAGTGCGAGAGATGGCAGGCAGAGTGCCGAGACAAGTTGGGCGTGGCGGGCTGGCTGCCCCAGCCGCCGAACGGCTAAAAACCGAAGGCGAGGAGGCTGGAATCAAAATCCCGACACAAAACTCTGAAAGATTGGACATGCACGAAGGGCAAGCAAAAAAATAATAGCCAGATACGCTGGGAGAAAAACCGACGAGGACTATATAGCGGCCCAGGGACCCCGCCGGATCAAAGGAGTCTACTCAGAGATCTCAATAGCCTTTAATTACGGAATATATACCTCAATTTAAAGGGGCCTTATTATAATGGTTTAAGGTGCATTCCTCAATTAAGGGGTATTACGGAATATACCTTAGTTTATAGGGGCCTTATTATAATGGTTTAAGGTGTATTCCTCAATTAAGGGGTATTGGGATCTCTGGGTAATTATAGGGTTTAGGGACTTTCACCCTAGCGGCTGTTGGGGGCAGCCAGGGGGGTTGCTTGTCAGGGTAGGCTTCCCAAACCTGGCAGAGACCCAGGAAGGAAAGCACGCCGTCACAGACAAACTCCCAGAGTGGATAGTTGGGCCACATGGCTTTAGGGTTTAGGGTTTAGGGTTTAGTATGGCTAGCAAGAGTAAACGTACACCCCCAACCACAGCCGCCAAGCCCTGTCCTAAACCTGGTACACGGCGAGGCAATGACGGCACAGAACTTTTTTGCGGGCTTCTGAAGCCCTCCACGCCTCTCCGCCCCGAAGTCAAAGTCCAGGTCCGAACAGCAAACCAAAAGCGCTTAGGGTTTAGGGTTCAGGGTTTAGAGTTTAAGAAAAATGCAAGCGACGCCACATGCTGCCAGAAATATCAGCAACAAGGTAGCAAATTCTAGAGCCACATAGATAGACAGACGTTTAATGGTTGTGAAGGAGCGTGGTTGCAAGCACGGTAACTGAAGGGGGGGCTATTACCTAGATACCTACATTGATTTCCTAAACTCTCAATGTAGACCCTTTCCAAACCTTGCAAAGACAATAGGGACAACATGGAATAACAACCCTACGAAACCGGTTTCTACCCATAAATCTCGCAGATCCTTGAAATCCGTAAACAGACCCCAGAAGCACGAGCCTGCAGGACGGGATTGACGAACTGTTCTTGACATCCGCAAGTACGCGGACACACGTGTCGCACGAGCCCTCGTCTCGGTTTAGGGTTTAGGGTTTAAAGTTTCTTGGCTTTAAAGTTTTGGCGTGTCATGTTGAAGGTTTGCAATCCGAAACCCCGAAACTCAAACCCTAAAGCGCCCAAAAGCCCTACACCGAAAGCCAAAAATCCCTCCGAGCATTGAGGCTTCAGAGTACCGGGGGTAAAGGTTTGGGCTATTCCGTTGAATCAAAGGGGAGAAGGAGGGACCCGTAATGGGGACCCCTACCCTATAATGGGCTATAACATGGGTATATAATAGCTATACTAAGGGTATATACCTAGGGGTCCTTTTAAAGGGTCCCTCCTTTTCCCCTGTGATTGAAGCTGGTGGATTTCGCACGAGGCCTAAGACGTATCGCTGCTGGGCCCCCCAAACCCCTAGTCCGAAATCTCCGAAGGTTGTGTCTGAGATCTAAACAACTCAACCCGAGCTAAACCCTAAACCCTTAAACCCTTAAACCCTTAAACCCTAACCCTTAATATTCAAGTTCGGCCTTGAAGTCAACACTTGGAGGCTCATGGAACTTAGTAGGTTTAGGGTTTGGGGGTTTAGAACTAGGTTTACAATTAAGGTGTTTACATGATTTACAGTTAGATTGATTAGGGCTTCGGGCGAATATTTTGGTGAGTCTATTAAACAAGGAAAAACCCCTGGGTGCAACATAGAGGCTTGACTTAGACTGTCGCTGCAGGAAACTATTACGGTATCGATACATAGGGACAATAAGGGGCCTCGTTAACAAGAGTGCAAGGGTGAAGGTTGGTGTAGCATGAGGCCGCAACGATTAGACTCGTACTTCTTATTCTTGGGGAGGGGAAGGCATGCCGCAAATATGTCGGCCACCCCTCAAGAAAAAGACTGGTTGTTCAGCCCTTGTGTTGTTCAAGTGGAAGGTCTCCGTTGCTGAGAAAAGCCCCTAAAAGTCCCTAAACCCTAAACCCTAAACCCTAAACCCTAAACCCTAAACCCTAAACCCTAAAGCCTTGAAGGAGTTCTTCTTGTCAATGTTCGAATTGGGTTTCAACTGGGAGACCCCAAAGCCTCTTACTTAAGCACCTCTTGCAAAATGCAGGGTTTCAGGGTCTAGGGCCTCTTTCTTCAGCACCTCTTGTTATGCAGGTATTTGAGAAGCTCTCAAATTTTCTTTGGTGCGGGTTTAAACTGTTTTCCTGCTTGAAGGGGGTGTGGAGCGTCTGGCCTAGCCCCGAAAGCCGAAAGTGCGAAGCCACAACCCTGCAAATGCACTACTTGGAGGATCATGGGACTTAGTAATTGGGGTTACGAATAGGGTAACTATAGTTATAATTACTTATAGCCCCAATTAGGGTACTTATAACCTTACTTACTAAGTCCCATGATCCTTTAACTAGCCGAAGGAACATCTGCTGCACGATCTGCACGCAATAAATGCGGAACCCGCGTGGATATAAAACTGTTACCACAAAAGGCCCGACGATGGCCCAGAAACTCCCTCAACCTGAATAGCCTACCGTTTCAGGGTTCCTTATTATGATTTCCTTATATAAGTCCTTAAAAAGGTAGGTTATTCCGGGTTAAGGTAAACCCCTAGACCTTGAACCCAACCATCTCTTCGAAACCTTGTCAGATGCATGATGGAGAATCATCAGGAACTTCCCCGCGAACGAACCCAAACCCTTAACGGAGCCTTGACAGAAAGCCTGACAGGAGTGCTTGAATGATAATCCTCTTAAGCCCAAGTAAGGAAAATGTGAAAGGTATCTCAGCATCGAAAACTTGTGCGAAACCCATCTCCATCCAAGGCTCGCCCCTGTGGCTCGATGCTGTGGCAGAGGTGCGACATTGCCTCGGTATTACAGATTTTCGGGCTGAGGGTCAACATGGTAGGTAGAACTACTGCAAGCACTAGGGACCTTGTTCATAGGTTTCTTAGCATCCCGAGCAGAAAAACCAAGCACTTCTCTAGACTCAATTGTCAGCTACTTTCTGAGACCACTGATCCAGTAGGCATGCCGAAAGCTGTAACAGCAGGAGTCGTAGTGGCAGAATTGTGATAGGGTAGCAGTAGTAGGTGTAGTAGTAGTAGTAGTAGTAGTAGTAGTAGTAGTAGTAGTAGTAGTAGTAGTAGCAGAAGCAGAAGCAGAAGCAGTAGCAGTAGTAGTAGTAGTAGTAGTAGTAGTAGTAGCAGCAGTAGTAGTAGTAGTAGTAGTAGTAGCAGCAGCAGTAGCAGTAGTAGTAACAGCAACAGTAGTAGCAGTAGCAATCGCAGTCGCAGTAGCAGTAGCAGTCGCAGTAGCAGTAGCAGTCGCAGTAGCAGTAGCAGTAGCAGCAGCAGCAGCAGTAGCAGTAGCAGTAGCAGTAGCAGTAGCAGTAGCAGCAGTCGTCGGTGGCAGTAGCAGAAGTGCAGTAGCAGCAGTAGTAGCAGTAGTGGCAGTAGTAGCAGTAGCAGCAGTAGTAGCAGCAGAGCCAGTAGTAGCGCAGCGCTATGTCCTAAACCCTAAACCCGTGCACATCACAACCCCTAAACCCTTAAACCCCCCAAAAACCCCTACTTCTAAGGGAACCCTAAACCCCCTCAACGTAACCCTTAAAGGAATCAAACCCTGAATCCACGTCCGGCAAGATGCTTCGCAGGTTGCTCCCTCTGGATACCCAGCTTCAAAACTCGCCGAGAAGAAATAGGGGCGATAGAACTCCTCCGATTCGATACTACTTGAAGGGTCGGGTACTTAGTAAGTAGGTAGTAAGTAGACTTATAAACGGACCCTAATTGGGGTTATGGTACTTATAAGTCCCGGAAGTACACAGTTACTACGTCCCCCGACCCTCCAAGTAAGGGCTCCTTTAAGGGCCCCTGAGGGTTCCTGTAAAGGATCTTTAAGGGTTCCTCTCAGGGTCCCTTTCAGGGTTACAGTAGTCGATAATTAGGCTCCATTAAGGGTTGCTTTCAAGGTCATGTTTAGCGATACTTGGAGGATCATGGGACGAGTAACCAGGGGGTTATGAAGAAGGCAGCTGTAGCTATCACTACATATAAGGACAGTTGAGGTACTTGTAACCGCTACCTACTAAGTCCCATGATCCTCCAACCCTAAACCCTACAGCGTAAAACCTAAACAAAGCCTTCATTAAGGAGGCTCTAAGGCGCCTTGGGCTTGTGGCATGCTTTTTGGTGGGCGGAGATGGAAGGTTCCTCAAAAATGGCCTCGCTGAAGGGCTTTTTGTGGGTGGGGCGTAGGGAGAAAGGTGGAACCAATAGCCTCAATCCATAAGAGCAATGTATAGGGAATCCCAGCACTATTTGTCCTTAAACCGGCTTCCAACTTTTAGGGTTTACTATAGGGTTTAGGGTTTAGGGTCTGGGGTGAACCTTTCGTCTACAACCCTTTTCTGCACGTGTTTTCTCACCTCCTGCCGGGCATTCAAGCATATCTGATGATCCTTAAACCCTGACCGCCCTACGGTTGATGATACAAATCCTGCATTACCCATAATAAGGAATATACCATAATTCCGATTTACCGTCCTTAAGGTAATGCAGGATTTATACCATCGACCGTAACCCTAAACCATACACCTCAAAGTCGAGACCCCGAACCGTCATTCGCGAGGTGGCGAGAGCCGTGGAAAAACCATGGGGGGCTGCACTTAGTCAATGATGGCACCACCTTCGTGTAGGGCGTCAGCAGTAGCAATCCAGTGAAAGCCGCATATGCAGAGGAAACTGAAGCACTGGAAGATTTTTATATGGGTCTTACTTATTAGAATAGGGTTTGGGGTGATGCGGGCGAAGACCTGTCAACGAAGAGCGAAACGAAGGACGACATATGCATTCTCAAGGAATGTGTGTATATACCATGTTAAACAAGATAGGGTTTAGTTTAGGGTCGATTATACCCTAAACCCTAAACCCTATTATAAATCCTAAACCCTAAACCCTAAACCCTAAGACTTGAATTACAGTTAGGAACCGTCAGAATAGTATAGGTAATTCGCCTCGGCCCCCCGTCCGACCGGTCAAAGGTTCCTACAGGGATTCCCTGTATTCCCCCACCTCTTATAGGGTTTAGGGTTCAAGGCTTGGGGTTTAGGGTCTAGGGTTTAGGGTTTCAGGTTTAGGGCTTATAGGGTTTAGGGTTTAGGGCCCCCGTGTCATGAAGGAGTTGTCAGGCAGACCCTTGGGAGGATCTAGAAAGTAGATCCCGTAATTTGGGGGCCCTATACTACTCAGGGTACTTTATAGGAGCCCGCATTAAGAGATCAACTTTTTGGATCCTCCCCGGGGAGGTCTGGAAATTAAGCAATCTGGTGACTAAGGAGCCGGCTCTGGTTCGACTGGTTCACTAGGATACCCAGTAACCCTAGAATAAAAAGGCCTCTCTTTTTGGTATTGGGTAACTTTATAAGGAACCTAGGACTACAAAAAGGGAATAAGGGTACTACTGGGCATCCTAGTTCATCACATCGTTTGCCAGAACTGTGCGATTGCTGTGGACGCCGCTGCAAATCCAAAAAACGACACTTTCAACCGCAGCACCACGGTTACGCGAGGGTTTTGCAGGCTCTGGAGATTCGCGAAATGCCCAACGGTCAGCCCCAAGCACTAAGAGGGCCCTAAAACACTACACTTTGAATTAAACCTTAAACCCTAAACCCTAAACCCTAAAACCCTAAAACCCTAAAACCCTAAAACCCTAAACCCTAAACCCTAAACCCCTAAACCCTAAACCCGTCTATATAAACCGACGAAGACATCCCAACATTTTGAATTTCTGAAACACCTCCAACGAGGGGTTTCCGAAGATATGGGATCCTACTATAATACCCTAAATCGTCGGATCCTTATCCTAAGGACCCCCCCTACGCATTGAATTTTTTTGCGTTGCTCCTGGAGATCATGTGAGGCGTTCGTCAAGAAAACTTCATCAAAGTCCTCCCAGAGAGCCCCAAGGGGCCCCCTAATTTAGGAATGCCTAGGGCTCCTTATATAAAAGGATCCTTAAGGGTTCCTTTAAGGGATCGATAAGGGATCTATAGGGTTTAGGGTTTAGGGAGTTCTAATACCCCTTAATTAAGGAATATGGCTTAAATTATCTAGGGCTTCATATTTTAATTTAAGCTACATCAAAGTCCTGTGGAAAAAAGGGGACGTTGTGACGGTTGGGTTTTTAGGGCTTAGGGTTTAGGGCGTCTAGGGTTTAGGGCATTTAGGGTTTAGGGTTTAGGGTGTTTAGGGTTTAGGGTTTCGGAAAAACAGGGACGTTGTTACCCTAAGGGTCCATGTACCCATATAGCGATACGTGCACCCCAAAGTACCCAAATAGGGACTACATTAAGGCCAATGTATATACTATATGGGTACATGGACCCTTAGGATTACGGTTTGGGGTCTTAAGGGTTTAGGGTTTAGGGCGTTTAAGGGCTTTAGGGTAGCCCTGTTCAAAACTTTTGAACCCACCCTTGAATCCCAAACCATTTCCAACCCTTCATCTTCGTGAAAGGCGCTGTGTAAGGTCGGGAATATGGAATTCTGGCTGTGAATCCCTGGACCATGCATGGCTCTAGGTCTCGATCCCTCATATGATCTAAACAGAATATCCCCCAACAGAGGGCCCTATCTTAAGCCATAGAATGAACTTTAGCCTGCATTCCTGTGGACTTGTATGCTTAGGTCCTTGTTGTTGAGGGGTGTCGGAAGCCTAAAACCCCGAACTCCAAACCTTTGCAAAGATCATCCCGAATCTCTAAACCCTAAACCGTCTAATCCCTACAGCCCCCCTAAACCCTACACCCTAAGCCCTAATCCCCTCCCTAAGCCCTAATCCCCTCCCTAATCCCCTAATCCCCTAAGCCCTAAACCCCCGAGCCTTGCCCAATAAGCACGGTTCTAGGCTGTAGATACCTAAAGGGTCGGAGACTTAAGTAGTTATCCCGCCGAAGCATCTAGTCGAAGCTACCACCTGGTGCTTACACTAAACCGAAAAATCTAAACCCTAAGCTAACCTAAGCCCTACCCTAACCCCGAACAACCTACCTCTTTAGATTTCCTTACTATGAGTTCCTTGCAAGAGTCCTTAAAAAGGTCGGCTATTCCGGGTTAGGGTAAACTCTAAACCACAAATCCTGAAACCCTAAATGTGAAACTAGAAGGAGCGGCATCGCTCTTTTGACATAGAGCAGACCAAGACTCGTGTGCCTTGAGCCAAACCCAACGCATAGCAGCTGTACACTTCTCGATTTGTGCCTGATGGCACAACTACTTCTCTTTGGGCTTCACACTGGTTACAAAATGTCTCGAGTTTCTTGGAGGCTACGGCGGGGCTCCCTGCTGTACAGGGGGAGGTCGCTCAATATACCGTCGTAGCTCCATGATGTCGCCATCGTACTGGTAGTCATCGGTGTGGACGCTGTAGATGTCCGAGTGGGTGAAGGCGGTGTGGAGCGTGATATTGTTCTCGGGGGCGATGTGCTGGGCGTAGCAACATGGACGACTTCGTCATAGAGGATGCCTTGGTAGAGAAATGGGCATAGTGGCCGCTGTCGTACGGGAGATACTTCAGGATCTGGAGGATGATGTCGTAGACGACCTGGATTTCCAAGGCATCCGGGAAGACCTGGTCGCAGAAGCCGTTGTGGAAGATGTAGCTGTGCAGGATACCGTTATAGAGCATCATACCGCAGAAAATGTGCTCGCAAAGCACTGTTGCTGAGAATATGGCCGTAGAGGTTGCTGTCACACAGGGCATACTCCGAGAGTGCGTGGTAGCCGCGGACCTGGAAGCCGAAGGTACCGTTGCAAATATCTGGATATATAGAGGGCAAAGTAGACGAAAAAGGACGCGGTTGAAGGGGACGTTGCCGTGGTTGCAGAAGCCGTTGCTGTATGGGCAGACTCCAAAATCGCAGGGCAAGTCGTCGGGGTCGTGATCGCGCAGTACGCAGTCGTACAGGATGTTGTCGTAGTGGTTATAGAAGAAATTAACATCACACAGTGGTGCCGCACCGGAAGTAGCCGATAAGGATGTTGCTGTAGATAATGTCGTTGCAGAGGATGGCCCGAGGATGGCGTTGTAAATGGTTCTGCAGTTGTGGTAGATCTCGTCATAGACAATGTCGTTGTAGAGAGTGCTGTCGTGGAACATGTTGTCGTGGATGATCTCGCTTTGGATGTTGTGGTAGAAGTACAAGGCGCGCGGAGGATGCGGCTGTTGCAGAGGTGTGGTCAACAAGGTTGCCGTGAAGGATGGCAGGTGCAGGATGCAGTTGTAGGAAATGTGAGTTCTGATTCAATGGCCGTAGTCGTACGGAGCGCTGTCATACACCATGTGGTCGAAAAGGGATCTTGCCGTACAGGGTACTGATGGATGCGGCCGGTGGAGACGCTGATGTTGACCTTGTGGTCGTCGATGTTGTTGACGTGGAAGCTGTGCTCGTTGAAGATGATGGTCCCGGTAGCCAATGATGCTGATGTAGAAGATGTCGTGGGCCTTCGAATATCATGATGCAGAAGATGTGGTAGCGGACGGTGTCGATGTTGAAGATGTCGTTGCCGAAGACGTTGACGTCGAGGATGCGGTAGTCGATGATGTAGATGTAGAGGTAGAAGCTGTGGTAGTCCCCGACGTTGATATCCGAGAGGTGGTTGGCAAACATGTTGATGAAGAGGAAGTGGTAGTCGATGATGTGGACGTAGAAGATGTGGCCGTCAGCATGCTGATGTATAGAGGGCTTGATGATCGACGATGCTGATGTAGAAGGTGTGGTCGGCGAGCATGTTGATGAGGAGAAAATGGTAGTCGAGGATGTGGGCGTAGAAGAAGTGGCCGTCGGCAACGGTGATGTAGAGAGTGTGGTAGTCGACGATGCTGATGTAGAAGGTGTGGTCGGCGAACATGTTGACACAGAGGACGTGATAGTCGACGATGTGGACGTAGAGGCAGTCGCCGTCAGAAATGTTAATGTGTTAATGTAGACGGCGTGGTAGTCGACGATGCCCATGTAGAAGATGGGGTCCTCGAGCATTTTGATGTATAAGATAAGGTCCGCAATGATGTTGATGTCATCCAAAATAGAAATGCAGAGGGTGTGGTAGTCGACGAGGTTGATGTAGAAGATGGCGTCGGCGAACATGTTGATGTAGAGGATGTGGTAGTCGACGGCGTGGAGGTAGCAGGTGTGGTAGTCGGCGACGTTGACGTAGAGCATGTGGTACCCGACGTTACTGATGTAGAGGATGTGGTAGACGACGAGGTTGATGTAGAAGATGGCGTCGGCGAACATGTTGATGTAGAGGATGTGGTAGTCGACGGCGTGGAGGTAGCAGGTGTGGTAGTCGGCGACGTTGACGTAGAGCATGTGGTACCCGACGTTACTGATGTAGAGGATGTGGTAGACGACGAGGTTGATGTAGAAGATGGCGTCGGCGAACATGTTGATGTAGAGGATGTGGTAGTCGACGGCGTGGAGGTAGCAGGTGTGGTAGTCGGCGACGTTGACGTAGAGCATGTGGTACCCGACGTTACTGATGTAGAGGATGTGGTAGACGACGGTGTTGATGTACAGGATGTGGTAGTCGGCGACGATGTTGTAGAGCATGTGGCACTCGACGATGTTGATGTAGAGGATGTGGTAGACGACGTGTTGATGTAGAGGATGTGGTAGTCGGCGACGATGTTGTAGAGCATGTGGCCCTCGACGATGTTGATGTAAAGGACGTGATAGACGGCGCTGGTGATGTAGAGGATGTGGGAGTCGGCGACGATGATGTAGAGCACGTGGTACCCGACGATGTTGATGTAGAGGATGTGGAAGACGGCGGTATTGATGTAGAGGACATGGTGGTAGTCGGCGACGTTGATGTAAAGCATGTGGTACCCGACGATGTTGAAGTAGAGGATGTCGTAGGCAGCGGTGTTGATGTAAATAATGTGGTAGTCGGCGGCGTTGATGTAGAGCATGTGGCAGCCGACGATGTTGATGCAGAGGATGTAGTAGGTGGTGGTGTTGATGTAGAGCATGTGGCCATCGAGAATGTCAATGTAAAGGATGCGGAAGCTGACGATGTTGATGCAGAGGATGCCGTCGGCGAAGACGTTGATGTAGAGGACGTGGTAGTCGGTACGGATGTAGAAGGTGTCGTCGTCAGCGTTGTTGATGAAGAGGATGCTGTAATCGCGGATGTTGATGAAAAAGAAGTGCTCGGCCAACTTGTTGATGTACAGGACGTGGACGTGGATGATGCAGAGGTGGTGGTCGCCAGCAATGTTGATGTAGAGGATGTTGTCGATGGGATACAATGTCGCAATAGCCTGGGGAAGAGCAGGACTGGACAGACGAAGCGACCATAGACAGCGATGAGCCAAAAGAAGATGTACACCGCCGCGCAGAGTCGGATGACGAAGACGTCAAAGGAGTCCGCGACGGCACCGAACAACAGGAAGATCTCCGCCGCAGCGCACAATCTGACGACGAAGATGGTAAAGCAATGCACGACGGCACTGAACAATCGGAAGGTCCCCGTCTCAGAGCACAATCTGACGACGAGGATGACAATGTGGCGGGCTGTTGCACAACACCACATGAAGCGCGCGACGGCGCTGAACCCCTGGAACTCCACCTCATAGCACGGCTTAGAAGCGAAGAGGACGAACAAGGAGCATGACATCGAGGAACAAGTTGACATGCGGCAGGAGGCTGGACATTGCTGGATCTACTGGAGCACACAGGCTCCGCTACCAATGTGAAACTAGAAGGAGCGGCATCGCTCTTTTGACATAGAGCAGACCAAGACTCGTGTGCCTTGAGCCAAACCCAACGCATAGCAGCTGTACACTTCTCGATTTGTGCCTGATGGCACAACTACTTCTCTTTGGGCTTCACACTAAACCCTAAACCCTAAACCCTAAACCCTAAACCCTAAACCCCCCGACTGCAGGGCAGCTCCGCGAGCCCTATTTGGAGGATCATACTGTTGATGATATAAATCCTGCATTACCTTAAGGACCCTAAGCTATGGGATTCATGGTATATTCCTTATTATGGGTCGTGCAGGATTTATATCATCAACCGTAGGACTCAGAGATTTTGGGTTTAGGGTTTAGGGTGCTTTTTGGGTTTAGGGTCTAGGGTTTAGGGTTCCTCTTAGAGGATCTATAGGGATACTACAACGGTTGAGGATTAAGGGTACTTGGAGGAAGGCGTCTCGGCTTCAAGCGTTGTGCTGCTTTCTCCCTCCGTGTTCAAGGTAACACTTGTAGCATCCAGACCCTAGCGATAGCTCTGCTTTCACGCCTGTGCCCAGAGAGCCCCAATACCCCTTAACGAAATAGCTTATAAATCATAATATGAAGCCCTGTGTTAGATATTTTAAGCTATATTCCTTAACTAAGGGGTATTGGGCTCTCTGGGTGTCTGCTCTGCTGCCACGGCGGCTGTCCCAGCGGACCTGCCTTTGTCAACCTGGAGGTTGACCGCGCCTCTCCGCTGCAACTGCCTTTAGACAGGCTTGCAGCGTTATTGTTTTTTCTTACCTTTGGTTCGTAGGGAATGGAAGAATGGTAGTAATAGTAGTTATAATTGTACCCCATTCCTCCATTCCCTACTAAAGGTAAGTTTTTGCTTCACGGTTGGCCACAGTCTGCACCTACCTGTGTCCGTCTCTATTTGTGTGGTTGCTGCCAATTGATTGGCCAACCGTTTCGGGGACGTTTGCCTATGCGGAAGCGGAAATCGCATACTGCCCGCCGATCTTTCTTCTGATCCCTGCGTTTGCCCTGCTCTGCTTGGGACAAGACGCCTCACCACGAACCCTCATGCAAAACCCGAACTTTAAACCCTCCACCCTAAACCCCAAATCCAGGATTCTGAAATCCACGGAACTATGAATACTAAACTTCAAAGCTCACATGTTTCCACTCCATGCTACTTGGACCATCAGGAGACTTCGTAAAACCGACTACAATATAACATTCTACAACTAACCCGGCATAAGTTGCAGTTACTTATACCTCTACTCAAAATCCTGCTTGCCAGGTCCCCTGATCCCCAAACCCTAGCTATAGTGCACTTAGAACCCTAGCAAAAATCATAATTTTAGCTGTTTCTTAGGGATTATAATAACCAAACATTAAAACTATTTCTAAGTACCCCTAAGTAAACCCTAAACCCTGAACCAGCAAGCTGGCTGGCAGTCCATACAGAGGCTGTCGTGGAAGTTACGGTGATACCTCAAGCGGCATCAGATCATTGACCCGCATTCACCAGACCCTTACAGTAGAAGCCACAAAGTTGGAACATGAGCTTAGGAGGATTAGTGCTAGGATTCTTTTCCTTTACGTGAAAGGGCATGAGGATACTAATGTTCCAACTTTCTGGCTTCTACCATGTTACAAAGGATCTAAATGGGCTCGATCAAGGTTCTACAACCGTCTATCGGGTTTAGATGGCATTTGAAGTGGTTTTGGGGTGCCAGGAGACAGGTGTAAAAGGGCTTCGGGTTTGGGCTTGGGGGTGGAGGCTTATACAAGGAGTTTAGGGTTTGCTCATACGTCTTGGCACGAGGGCTCAGGGTTTTAATGCCCAGACCAAGCCAACTGATATGGGCGCCTTAACTACTAGAATAGGGCTTGAGGGTCTTTACAGTAGAGGTAGAGGGGGCAATATCCAAACTCTGCACTACTTGTGCCCTAAACCCTAATTCCTAAAAACAAAACCCTAAACCTATCTACTGAAACCTAGCATCCTGGAGGCGGAATGCCAAGTTCCTCCGACCCAAGCACATGGGGTTCTGTGAATTGTAGGGGCCTGAATAATCAGAGCAGGGTATGTGGGGGGGGGGGGGGGGGTATTGCGCTGAACCTCAGCTTAAGACCCTTCGCCCCAAACTCTACTTGGAGGGTCGGGGGACTTAGTAAGTAAGGTAGCAAGTAGACTTCTAAGTACCCTAACAGGGACCCTAATTGGGGGTATGGTACTTATAAGTCCCTAAAATAACCAGTTACTACGTCCCCCGACCCTCCGAGTAGACGCCCAACCCTAGAACCCTACAACCCTCGCCGGCCGAGTTGCATCGATGTCTCCATGTCCTCGCGGAATGTGGTACGGTCCTGCTTCTGCTCTGGCGTGCGGGCACAGGGTCTGAGGTTGCGTGTGCAGGACCAGCGGTCAGAGAGCCCATAATCCCCTTAATTCAGGAATATGGCTTAAATTATATAGGGCTTCATATTATGATTTAAGCTATATTCCTCGATTAAGGGATATTGGGCTCCCTGGCTAAGGTTATTTGTAGCTTGGGGTTTAGGGCCTGGCGCGGCCATTGCCGCCCTACCGATTTCGCTGTTCCGAAAAATGAAAACCTAAACTATGAAACACCATAAACCCTAATCTAAGTACCCTGAACCCGAAAGACCCTATTCTCACAACCCTTAACTCCTAAACCCAAAACCCGAAACCGAAAGGTTTTTTCGGCAGTCTCGGTGCTTGGTCCAAATGACGCGTCCTTGCTGAACTTGATCATGTTCCTGGGATGCATTGGGTTTAGGGTTGTGGGTTTAGGGATGGCTATGTGGTGGTTTCCGAACATTAGAGGTACCTTATTTTGGGGTCCTTATAATGAGGACCCTACTATTTAGGGTACCATAATTAGGGCCCTAAACCCTAAACCCTAAATACCCTAAACCCTAAACCTATCTTCGGAAACTCCCATGTGGAGGTTTCAGAATTTGAAGTGACTCAGAAACGGCCGCGCCGAACAGTCGGCTCCGAGCTGCAAAGATGCTTGAAAAACCCAGATAGTCCTAAACCCGAAACCGTTTAGGGTTTAGGGTTTAGGGGTTTAGGGTTTAGGGTTTAGGGGTTTAGGGTTTAGCAAAATTCGACCCCCTAGGCGAAGGTCTGTCCTTCAAGCTGTGTTGCGGTGATTTGGGTGGCTTACTAAGGAGTTCCACCGGGTTTCTGCGTAGACGCATTCTCTACAGGCTCGATGGGGAAAGCGCGGGATTAATTAATGTTTAGGGTTTAGGGCCTTGGGGCTTTTCTGGTTTTGGGTTTGAAGTGATATTAGTCTCTGAAACCCCACCCTAAACGCTGGACCCTAAATAACTAAAACCTAACCCCGAAACCCCTAAACTCTCTTACCCCTAAACCTCTCTTCTTCAACAGCCGGGCCCAAACAAGTTCAAACTTTCTAAGATAGAGCTAACATATAAGGCCACAAAGTTTAAAGTTTCCCGTTCACTATCTAAGAAACCCTACTTCTGAAACCTCAGATCCGGAACAGACAGCTGACCCGGACAGCACTCCCAGACCCCCAACAAAGGATCCCGAAAACAAATCCCCCAACAAGATTAGGGCTCAGTGTTTATCCAAGGGGAAAAGGAGGGACCCTTAATAAGGACCCCTAGGTATATACCCTAAAATTAGCTATTATATACCCGTCATATAGCCCATTATAGGGTAGGGGTCCCCACTAAGGGTCCCTCCTTTACCCATTTGAGTTTAGGATTTAGGGCTCCTAGTTTTCATACGGCTTAAGATAGATCCTTGGAGGGTCGGGAGCCTTACAAAGCAGTTCAGGCGGATGATACGTGGGAAAATCTCATCATAGGCGTTCAGGGTTGTTGCCTGCTTTCTAAATCCCTCGAACCTCTAAACCCTAAACCCCAAACCCTGCACCCTACTTGGAGGATCATGGGACTTAATCATTGGGGTTATAAACAGGGTAACTATAGTTATATTTACTTATAACCCCAACCAGGGTACTTATGACCTTACTTACGAAGTCCCATGATCCTCCAAGTAGACCCTAAACCCTAAACCAAACCCTACAGATCCCTTTGAGGAACCCTATATACATCCCTGCCCCTTACTTACTAAATCCCATGATCCTCCAAGTAGACCCTAAACCCTAAACGAAACCCTATAGATCCCTTTAAGGAACCCTATATACATCCCTTTAAGGAGCCCCTTACTTACTAAGTCCCATGATCCTCCAAGTACACCCTACACTACACCCCCTCGACCCTTAACCCCCGAGCCTGAGGCCCCGGAGCCTAAGCCTCGGCGTAGCCGCCAGTAAACCCCAAACCCCAAACACCTACAGCAGGGGTTTAGGGGTTTAGGGCTGACCTTAACCCCAAATAACCTACCCTTTTTAGGGACTTATATAAGGAAATCATGTCAGAGGGCCTCAAAGAGGCAGGTTCCTCAGGGTCCAGGTTCGGGTTTAGGGGTTTAGGGCTGTTCCGGGCTTAGGCTTCAGCCTGCAGCTACTCACCCTGCCTCCGGAGCAGTAACTACCCAATAAGGTTTAGGGTTTCAGGGTTTAGGGAAACCCCCAATAATCATATGTTCTCCAAAATCCTAACCTACATAACTACTATCCTAAAACCGAGTACCCAACTATTGGGTCCTTGGGACCCTTGGGGTAACTCATTAGACCGAAGGCGGGATCTCTAAATCCCTGAGCCCCAATTCCTAATCCCCACTTCCCACAGAAAAACCTGTTGCTAACACTTCAAAAAGTCCTCGTGAAGAAGACCTATCAAACCTTCGTAAAACACCCCTGACCGCGAAACCCTGAACATCTAAACTCTGAACCCAAACCCCAAACCCTAGACCCTAAGACCCTAAACCCTGAAAGTCCTTAAAGCCTGACATCCTGGACGGAAACCCTAAAGCTCTGCTCTATCCGGGGATCGACGTCCCCACATCCTCTTGCCAGATGTGCTGGGCCACCTCATTGGGTGTATCGGTTAGGGTTTCTGTGTTAGGGTTTCGGGTTTGGGTTTTCGGGCCCTAAACCCTAAACCCTAAACCCTAAACCCTAAACCCTAAACCCTATCGTTTAGGGTTTCTGGGTTAGGGCTTTCGGGTTTTCGGGTTTTCGGGATTGGGTTTTCAGGTTAGGTTTGGGTCTAGAGACCGGCCCCATACTTCGAGGATCAGGGACTTAGTAAGTAAGGGCCTCCTTAAAGGGCTCCTTAAAGGGATCTATAGGGCTCCTCAAGAGAATCTAAAGGGTTCCTAAAGGGATCTATAGGGTTCCTCAAGAGAATCTAAAGGGTTCCTTAAAGGGATCTATAGGGCTTAGTTTAGGGTTTAGGGTCTACTTGGAGGATCTTGGGACTTAATAAGTAACGTTATAAGTACCTCGAAAGGAGTTATAAATCAGTACAAGTGTAGATGTCTTACCTAGATCCCAACCGTTTACAGTAAACCCCATGAAGTTCGAAACCGGAATGAGGCCAAATAGTGCTGGGATTCCCTATACAAAGTGTGGATTAAACCCGAACCCAAACCTTACTCTGAGACCCTTAAAGCAAAGGTTCCTGTTTGGGATCCTTTGAGGGGCCCTCAGCCCAATAGCCGAAACCCTAAACACTAAACCATAAACCCTACCTAGAGGATCATGGGACTTAGTGACCAAGACAGAAACGCATCACTGCTGAAGTGAGCCAATGACGTATAGGGTCTGGGGTGTAGGCTTTAGGGCTTGGGGTGTGGCAGGGTGTAGGGTTTAGGATTTAGGGCTTTAGGGGCGTGTTCGGTTCCTGAAAGCTTGCGGCTCTGTGGTTCCTGCAAGCCTGGCCTAATCCCGAAACTTGACAAGCTGTAGAGTTGCAAAGAGCCCTCGAGCCGGAATGAGGTTGTGTTTTTAAGTTTAGGGTTTAGGGGTTTAGGGCTTTAGGGTTTGAGGGTTTCAGGGTTCAGGGTTTAGGGGTTTTAGGGTTTAGGGTTGAGGGTTTAGGGCTTAGGGTTTAGGGCTTTAGGGTTTGAGGGTTTCAGGGTTTTAGGGTTTAGGGGTTTTAGGGTTTAGGGTTTAGGGTTTAGGGCTTAGGGTTTGGGGCTTTAGGGTTTGAGGGTTTCAGGGTTTAGGCTTTAGGTTCAGGCATTCAAGGTTCGTGGCTGTTGGGCTCCAAACGAGAGCCTCCCCCCTCCGAAGGATTCAAAAGACAGCAAACCGGAAACTCTCAGCTGGAACGGCGAAACCCGTAACCTTACAGCGCGGACATCTGCAGTGCACCAGGGTTCTTGTTGAGGACCTGAATTAAGCTGCCAGAATAGGGATCTATAGTAAACAGAAGAGTTTACTTTGCTCTCTAGCTAGCTACACTAAACCTAAACCCTAAACCCTAACCCTTAAAACGACTCCAGTCAAGGCGCACTGTAACGGAGCAGCGAAGTCTCTTCTGCCGCTGCATTGTACTCTCCAGTCACCATGCCCACTGTCACCTCAGATGGGAGGCCAAAAAGGGGGGTTTAAGGTTCTTGGGGTAGGGATTCCTGAATATGAACCCTATTATGGGAACCCTAACCCCTACTAAACCCCCATAGGCAAAAACCCCTTTCGGCCTCCTATGAACCTGAGAGTGTGTTTAGGTTTTAGGGTTTAGGGCCAGGGAACTGTGATTGTTGATGCTTATCGCGAGTGTACCGCTCCATTGGAGGCGCGAGGTGGAGTGTGCTAGGATCTCTGGCAGGGTTGCAAGCCGGCTTAGACGATTTAAGGCCTGAGCATACGGGCTTGAGGGCTTCGAGGGCTTCACGGTTTGGGATTTAGTGCGCGTCTTACAATGCCACGATGTAACCTGACCCACCATAGTGCGGTTGCTTTGCTCACGATCACCTTTTATGGTTCAGGGCTCTGTCCCCTCAATCCCCCACACCCTGTGGCAGCCTCCTCATTTCTTTTTCTGCCCAAGTCAGAAACCGAGTCGTCTTTTTGTCTGACCCTAGACTCTAAACTGTGAACCCCAATACCCCAACAAACCGAAAACCAACAAAACTGAATCCGAAACTCCAAACCCCGAACCCCTTTCCCTGAACTTGACAAAGACAGCTTCCAAAGACCTTACACAGCCTAGGTTCCTGAGTAGCCCCTTTATACTAAGGCTGCCCTTTTTCCTAGCACTCGGTTTTAATGAGAGGACCCTAAAGTACAAAAGGGCAAAAGGGTATTACGTAGATACCTGGCAGCACTATAAGCCGTCAACGAGAAGCCACTAACTCAAGAGGCAAATCCTGCACCACCTACTACTGTTGATGATATAAACCCTGCATTACCTTAATGACCCCAGACTATGGGAGTTGTGGTGTATACCCTATGATGGATAATGCAGGATTTGTACCATCAACCGTACCAACTTTGAGGACAGCGAGAAAGCACAAAACGAATCGACCACGCCCAAGCCCCCCGGCTCGAAGTCCCTTTTATCGCGGATTTTGGCTCGTAGGCTTTGTGGGCTTAAGGTTTAAGCTTTACCTAGAGGCCCATACCCTACCCATTTTTAAAGGTACCTAACTTTCTATATAACAGCTCCTAACCATAAAACTAGGTATCCTAAAAAAGGTGTAGGCTATGACCCTCTAGGCAGGCCAAACAGTTGAGGCACAACGGCTTAGGGTTTAACCGATGCAAAGGCACCAACTGCAACTGGTTATCCGTCACCACGAAGTTCCGGGTGCCCCCACAGAACCTGATCGTCTGTCTGTTCCTTTAAGGCTTCCTTTCAGGGTTCCTTTTAGGGTTCCTTTAAGGCTTCCTTTAAGGGTTCCTTTAAGGGTTCCTTGAAAGGGTCCTGTAAGGGTCCTTGAAAAGGTCCTTTAAGGGTTCTATAAGGGGTCTTAGGGTATCTGAGGTCCTTGTCTGGCGCTTAGTAGGGAATGGGGAATGGATTCCTATACTAGTCCCTCTATCGTCTCCATAATCCTTTCCCCCATTCCCTACTAAGCACCAGACAGGGACTATGGATACCCTAAGACTCCTTGTAGAACCCTTATAGGACCCTTTCAAGGAACCCTTAAAGGACCCTCAGCACCAGACAGTAGCGCGGCTTCCGGGTTTCAAGTGCCATCACGACCTGTAATCAAGTTCGGACACCTGAACTGCAAACCCCTACTTAGAGGATCATGGGACTTAGTAATTAGGGTTATAAATAGGGTAACCATAGTAATAACTACTTATAACCCAATTAGGGCATTTATAACCATACTAACTAAGTCCCCTGATCCTCCAAGTAGCCCATAAACACTGAACCTTGATGCCAAACAGTAAACCCTAAGCTCCAAAACCCTCAACCCTAAACCCCTACGCCCTATGTGGGAGTTTCCGTGAATAAGGAACCTCAAAATAGTACACTAAATAGTAGGGTCCTTGTTATAAGGACCTAAGGTACCCCTAATTTTCGGAGTTTCCTATCTAAGCCGTATGGAAACCTGTGGCATCTAGGATGAGGTCTGATAAACTAAACCCGGGCTTTAGAACCATAATACAATGATATTGAGGTTAGTACTCTCTTGGTGTTTAGATGAACAAAAGGTACAAAAAATCAAAGGACACTGTAGTAAGTCCTAAGCGAGTCTATTAGGGTTTAGGGTTTAGGGTTTAGGGTTTAGAGCTTGGTGCCTGAAGTTTAGAGCTTGCGGCTTAGAATTTACCGCGCGGGATGTTCAGGACTAAAGGGGTCGCTTGCGCCCAAAATCAGATCTTCAACATGCGATGGGCTCGGTTGGTGTGGGATGCCTCGAAATACCCGAGCTGCGCTCGCCGAAGCCTAAACCTTAAACCTTTGAAGCCTCAACCCTCCCCCCTCCCGGAACCCTACATAGATACCTACATACGTACGTACATACCTTTCATACACACATACATACGAACATACATATTTGCATCTATCATAATCTATCATACATACGTACATACATGCATACATACATACATGCATACATACGTACATACCTACCTACCTACCTACTTACCTAGGTACATACATACATACATATCGTACATACATACAATACGCTACCATACGTGAGTACGTGACATACATGACATACCACACCACACCATACCCTGCCTTACCATACCCTACCCTACCATACCATACCATACATATCACGCGTGCATGCATACATACCCAGAAGCATAGATGCACAGACACATGCCAAAACAAAAAAAAGTGATACTTCATGTATAGACCCCTATATACAATAAATCCATGGATTTGAGGAACTCCAATGCAAATAACCCTACAAAGCCATATGATACCACGTAAGTGCTGCATGCAACTGCTCCCAATCCAACACTTCCAAGCTTTCCAGTACCACCAATCGAGGCCCCCGCGCACGCCAAAAGCCGAAGAGAAAGAAACAAACAAACAGGCAGAGCCGTGATAATCCCCGGAAATACTATCAACAAGTCCTTACAGGGGACCCTGTTATAGAACCCTATAGTACCCTTAAAGGGGACGCTATTATGGAATCATTATAGTACCCTTAAAGGGGACCCTATCATAGAACCCTATAGCACATGCTTCACCAAAACAAATGTCGAGATGCTGGCGCTTGACCTCCAGCATGTCCCGGCTCAGTGGCCCCACATTGTTGGTCCACCTGGGTTTGGTGTTTGGGGCTTAGAAGGGGGCCCCACCCTGTAATAGTGGCATAGTAGGAATATAATAGGGCCCCTAAACCCTAAACCCTAAACCTTAAACCGTCACTATTACAGGGTGGGGGCCCCTTCTAATTTGGGGCTCCCAAACCCTACTCTCATGACGAAGGCGCCGAAAATATGGGTGTGGTTGTCAAAATTAAGGTCCCTTTTTGGGGTACCCTAAATTAGTAGGTGCCGTGTTATATTAGGGACCCCAAAAAGGGACCCTAATATTGACAACTACCCATGTGCGCATATATATATATATATGTATATAATGCTCTTTGAGATCTCTTTAAGAGACACTTTATGAGAACCCTTTTGGCTTTGAAAAAGCTCTTCGGGGGAAGCCTTAAACGAACTCTCGATCCCAAAGCTATGCACCCACCCTAGACCCCTACACGCTAGACCCTACTTGGAGGGTCGGGTGACTTAGTAATTTGGTAGTAAGTAGACTTATAATACCCTAAAAGGGACCCTAATTGGGGTTATGGTACTTATAAGTCCCTAAAATAACCAGCTACTAAGTCCCCCGACCCTCCAAGTAGACCCTACCCCGCAAAGGGGCCTTCTGAGCCCAGCTTGGGGGGACTTAGGGGGCTGATGAGTTGAAGGAGCCGACGGGTTGTTGGGTTTGGGGCTTGGGGTGTTTGGTTCTAGATAAGTTCTCGGGATTAGGTTTCAGAGTTTGGGGTCTTTTTTGGGGGGTGTTTAGGTCTTAGGGTTTAAATGGTTTAGGATTCAGAATCTGGAGCTTTGTGTGTTTAGAGTTTGGGGTGGGGGGGTTTAGGTTCAGGGTTTGAAGGTAAGGGTTTGGATAGGTTTAGATTTAGGCTGTCGGGCGTTGTGCTTGGCAACTGGAGACTCGAACTGCGGGCGAAAGCAAAAGTTCGCAAAAGAGTCCAACGGTTTGGTGTGGGCCACGGGACCCTAAACCCTAAACCCTAAACCCTAAACCCTAACCCGGAAGTCATTTGGAGGGGAACCGTGCTCCTAGTTGGGTAGCGGCTCCTCAGTTAATGGGATGTCGAAGAGAATTTAGCAAAATGCCTCGTTTCGAATAGTATCCCAAATGCCCACGACTAAGGACCATCAACATATCCCACGATTAAGGATTCATAGGACCACAGCTCTTATCGCAAAGACCCTACACCCCCAAACGCCGCTGCTAACGACTATAACAAAAGTGCTCCATCTCGGAAACCTTTTGGGTTCTCTGAACCCTAAACCACCTGAAACGCTTGAGGTTTATTGCCACAAGCCTAAACCCCCTAGACTCTAAACCGTAAATAACCCTAGACCCCAAACCCTCAAAACCCTAAACCCGAAACCCAAGCCTTAGCTCGGCTCTGCTGCATTTTGGGAACTCGGCTGAGAAGTTTCGTGTCTCAGGCCCTGAGGATTCGTTGTAAAGTTTAGGGCCTAGGGTTTTGAAAATTGAGAAAAACGGCAGCCGACAAAACCGCACTGGGCCAAACAATGGGTGGAGCCTATGGAGAGCTGGTCTGTCAAGGGCTCCGCCGCGCCGCCAGCCAGGCACAGCTGGGCGTAAAATCCCTAAGGGGTGGCTCTTAAAATTAGAATCCCCTTTTGGGTACCCTAAATATGAGGTGCCGTAGTAGAACAAGGACCCAAAAAGGGACCCTAATTTTGACAGCCCAAGCCCTATGCAATGTTTTAAAGGGAACTCCAGAAAGTTGGAATATGGTTTCAGGGTAGGATACCCTAAAATTTACCATAAAGGGTTTAGGATAATCATATTCCATTTTTCTGGCTTTTACTATAGGGTTTTCCAGCACCCAAAATCTCGGGCGGCTTGCTGGGCCGGTCATAGGGGCGGACGCAAAGGAACCCCATAGATCCCTTAAATCCAAGGGGAACAGGAGGGACCCTTAATAAGGACCCCTAGGTATTATACCCTTACAATAGCTATTATATACCCATTATATAGCCCATTATAGGGTAGGGGTCCCCATTAAGGGTCCCTCCTTTTCCCCTTTGATTAAAGGAAACCCTGAAACAAAAGCCGGCGAAGCCCAAGCCACGGCCAAAGCATCAGGAGGCCAATCGCAAAAAGCAGGACAGCCGACCTCAACCGGCCAGGGATTTAGGGTGCATGGCTCAGGGTTCGGGGTTTGGGATTTTAGGGTTTAGGGTTTAGGGCCTAAGGTTCAAGGTTTGGGGTTTAGGGTTTGGGGCCTCTGGGTTTGGGGGTCGGTGTTTTTTTATAAAGAGTGTTGAACCCAGGGGTCTTCTTTCAAGGGTGCGAAAAAGGGTCCTTTGCGGGGTCTTACAGTAGAACCCAGAAAGTTGGAATATCATTATCGTAACCCCTTTAAGGTAAATTCTAGGGGATCCTACCATTAATCCATATTCCAACTTTCTGGAGTTCCCTTTAGAAGGTTTATGGTTTAGGGGAAGAGTCCCCTGATCGAAGGATCCCTTCGATCGTGGGACTTAGTAACAGCTGTCGTAAGTAAGGTAAGTACTAGGGTAGTTGTCAAAATTATGGTCCCTTTTTGGGTACCCTAAATATCAGGTGCCGTATTACAATAAAGACCCCAAAAGGAACCCTAATATTGACAACCACCCACTAGTATTTAGTAGCTAGCAGTATGGGGGCGGCCTCCGAAACTTAGGAGCACCAAAGAGGCGATGAAGAAGGCTGGAAAAGGTTGAGGGCTCACGGCTCAAGGGCCCCACCCCAAACTCTGAACCCTAAACCCTAAACCCTAAGCCCCTAGACCGCACACCCTAAGCCCCCAGACCGCAAACCCTAAACCCCCGGAGAGTTCCAGGCTACTTGGAGGATCAGGGGACTTACTAAGCATGGTTATAAGTACCTTAATTGGGAATAAGTAGTTATACGTGTAGTTACTCTAATAATAACCTTAGTTACTAAGTCCCATAAACTCTTATACTACCCCTATGGATCCTTTAAAGGGGCCGTAAGCCCTAGTTACCAAGTCCCATAAACTCTTATACTACCCCTATAGATCCCTTCAAGGGGCCCTAAACCCTAGTTACTAAGTCCCATAAACTCTTACAGTACCCCTATAGATCCTTCAAAGGTGGCCTAAGCCCTAGTTACTAAGTCCCATGATCCGATAAGCAGCAGAGCAAGACTGGGCCGTTCGCCTTTCCTTGTCTACATAAGCTACTTCCAAAAACAAAGGCTAAACCGAAAGCCCTGAACTTGTAACCACAAACATTAAACTCCAAACCCAAGCAAAGCCTTTGGCTTGCGTCAAGACGCTCCACTTGACTTCGCCCTTTGCCTCAATGGGATCCGGATTTTCGAAACTTGGGATTCGGTGAGGCTTAGAGTTTCAGCCCTAAGGTCTAAGGTTTAGGGCCTGCTCTTTTCAATGGGATCCTGGCTGCGCACCTGCGGTTGGGATCCAGGGATTTTGGCTTCATGGTTTCTGTGTTCGGGCTTAAGCTTACGAGCATGGCGACTTGAAATTTGGAACTCAAGTTTTATGGTTGGAATCTTGGTGTTTAACGGTTTAGGGTTTAGGGTTACGAACTTTGAGCGAGAATTGCGTTCGTGTTGCGGGATCTTGGGAAAGCCTCAACCGGAAGGCCTGAACCCCCAAAAAATACCCTGGGGTTTAGGAAAGGGTGCAAGGCCTGGAGCTGGGATGCCTTGTTGCACCCTACTTGGGTAGTTGTCAAAACTAAGGTCCTTCTTGGGTACCCTAAATAATAGGTGCCGTACTATAATAGGAACCCAAAAAGGGACCATAATTTTGACAACCACCCACTTGGAAGATCAAGGAATTTTGCCAGATGAGCTTGAAGTTAGAATAAACCCTGAACCCTGAAGCCTAAACCGAAACCCTTACATCCAAAATGAACAAACAGTGTAACCCGCTCAAGCCAAATCATCTCGAAGTTCTGGCTTTGTGACCTTGCTTAGAAGTACAGACCCCGTATTCCGACGCACCTTCTATACCCAGACCCCGGGGAGGATCTAGAAAGTAGATCCCGGAATTTGGGGCCCTATACTACTAAGGGTACTTTACAGGAACCCCCATTAAGGGATCCTAAACCCTAAACCCTGAAATCACCCTAAACCCTAAACCCTGAAACAACCCTAAACCCTAAACCCCCATTAAGGGATCTCCTTTTTGGATCCTCCAAAGGGGGTCTGGGTAAATACTTACCCCCGAACTTTAAACCGCATAATAACTCAATAAGTCTCGTGATCCTCCAAGTAAAATCAAAAGTTTACACCCTACACCGTAACAATAATAAGATTAAGGATAAAATAGTAGTAATAATAATAGTAGTATTACTAATAATAGTGATAATAATAATAATAATAACAATAATAATAAGGTAATTCCAGCTTGTACAGGCGCATGGGACCTGACCCTATGCTGAAACACCAATGAACCTGCCCTATGAACGCCAGTAAACGAAACCTTGCAAACCCTAAACCCTAAACCCTAAACCCTAAACCCTAAACCCTAAACCCTAAACCCTGAACCCCGTTTTAATGGCCATATAAGGACCGATGGGGACCAAGAGCTTCCCTGGACCGCCTCGCATCTACAAAATCTCTTCTTTTTGAGACGGAAAGTTACAGAATCCAGGAAGCCTAGACGAATCGTCATCGCAAATCTTGAGAAATAAAGGGGTGGTTGTCAAAATTAGGGTCCATCTTTGGGTCCCTATTACAATACGGCACCAAATATTTAGGGTACCCAAAAAGGGATCCTAATTTTGACAACCACCCAAATGAATGCCAGTAGAAGAGGGGGATTGGAAACGGTACCTCCGTCATCTTCCGACCAGAAGTGGGAGTTTCCGAATATTAGGTGTACCTTATTTAGGGTCCCTATTCTAAGGATTCTACTATTTAGGGTGCTTTTTGGGGGTCCCCTATTTTCGGAAACTCCCAAGTATCACGACTCAGCTCAGAGGGTGTGGGGTTTAGGGGTTCAGGGTTTAGGGGCCTGGGGTTTAGGGTTTAGGGATTTCCGATTTTGGGGGGTGTAGCGTGGAAGGAGTATTGGAGGGTCGGAGGACATGATGAGCAGGTAAAAAGTAGAGTCATGAGCGCCCTAAGTGGGATTCTAGTTAGTTTTCTGGCACGTATAATCCAAAAAATATCTTCCTACCAAGTCCTCGGTCCTCCAAGTATCTGGTATAAACCCCAGAGGTTTGGGCGCTAAACCCTGAAAACTCTAAACCCCTAAAACCTTAAAACCCGAAACAACTAAACCCCCGAAACTCTAGACCTCTAAAACTCTACACCCCTAAACCCCTAAACAGGCGAGACACGCCTCGAGCTTACGGTTCGAGCTCTGATGTCTGGGGTGGGGAGGGGGGGGGGTTGTGGCTGTAGACCTACAGTAGAAGCCTGAAAGTTGGAATATCATGGTCGTAACCCCCTTTATGGCAAATTATAGGGGATCCTACCATTAATCCATACTCCAACTTTCTGGAATTCCCTCTACTGGTCTAGAGTTGCTATTGTGGGGTTCAGGGTTAAGGGGATTACTTAGAGTTTAGGGTGTAGGGTTTAGGGTCCAATACTAAAGACTGCTTTTAAAGGCCGCCCTTAGAACCAGAATTGAAAATAATGTTCGTGTTAGTCTCCGTAAGTTATATTTATAAGAAACTAAACCGTAGTTCTGAAGAGCAGTAGAGATGAAGAGGTGCAGGCAAAGGTTTTATACCGGAACCCTTACGGGAACCACCACAGAAACAACCGCAAATAGGCAGTCCTGCCATTATCTGGCTGATGGTAAGCCTTTGCTTCTAGACGATTTGTCAATACCTTCAAAGGGGTCTGGGATGCCCCAACCCCCAATTCCAGGCGTGCGGCTGTATCGAACCTTGATCGCCTCCAGATCCTGAATGCAGATCTGGATCCTGAGTCGGTGAGGGTAGTTTTAGAAATAATCGACAGAGCCCTATACCTATATCCCTTCGTCGGAATTACTTAAGAAGGTCTACTAGCCGGTCTGTTTATTCTTTTGGGGGAGCCATGAAAAAGGACAAGGCTGGTTCAGCAATTCAGGGTTTGGGCTTCAGATCTGACCCTGCGTCGGCCTCCATAACATCTGGACGTTTAGGGTGTAGGGTTTAGGGTTTAAGGTTGAGGGTTGAGGGTTTAGGGTTTAGGGTTTAAGGTTGAGGGTTGAGGGTTTAGGGTTTAAGGTTGAGGGTTGAGGGTTGAGGGTTTAGGGTTGAGGGTATGGTAACTATGGTCCCGATAAGGGACCGTGAGGAACAGTATCTCTGATTGCTCAAGCTTCTGCACTACTTGGAGGAGCACCCTAAATGGGGTTGTAAGTACCTATAACCAAAGATACCTCATTTATACCTATAGTTACTAAGTGCAATGGTCCCCTAAACCCTAAACCCCTGAACCCTAAACCCTAAACCCTGAACCCTAAACCCTAAACTGTAAACCCAAATTGGGTGGTTCAGCGGTTCACGAAATAGACTGCAGGGCCTCGGGCTTCGAGGAGAAGCCTAAACCCAAAGACTCCAATACAGGCTACTTGGAGGATTACGTAAGGGGCTCCTTAAAGGGATCTATAGGGTTCCTTAAAGGGATCTATAGGGCTTAGCGTCTACTTGGAGGATCGTGGGACTCAGTAAGTAAGGTGACATGTACCCCAATTGGGGTTATAAGTAGTTACAGCTATAGTTCCCCTATTCGTAACCCTAGTTACTAAGTCCCATGATCCTCCAAGTATAGGGGCGCTGTAGCGAATTGAGTAGAAGTATATAGGGGAATAGAATGGGATACGACCCTAAACCCTAAACCCTAATTCTTCCGAGGCCCTATATCAACGCCCCTAAGCCGCCGCCTCAGGTGCCATAGCCTTTCCCAACGAAGAATGACACCGTGCGAATAGACCGGAACCCAACTCCGCGACTTGGCTGGAGGGGCCGAGGCAGGCACCCATCGCTCCAACTCATCGTCTCCTTCATGGCGACTTTGATGGCGAAGCCAATCATGGAGTCGACGCACACCCTCCTGCGCCATACGCTGACGTGCTGGCTCCGAGGCGCCGCTGGGAGTGCTCATCGTGATGACACCACTCTTGTCAACGTCGCCGCTGATGCGTTGTTCGTGATGCAGGCGGCGACGCTTATCCTCGCGATGAAGACACGTTTAGTGCAAACGTACAGTAAACGGAAATTGTACCTATGTTATATACCCATAAAGATGCAGAATGATACCCAACTACGACAAAGTACTTGGAGGATCATGGGACTTCGTGGGTAAGCTTATAAGTACCTTCTATAGCTGCCTGATTTACAACCTTAGGGTTTAGGGTTTAAGGTTTAGGGTCTGATTTACAAAACTAGCTTCGGATTCCCACGATAATGCACGCAAAGGGCTCCTGCTCGCGATGCACCCTACATCGCATGAATAGCAAATGTGTACTGAACAATATCTAGGTTGGCCCTTTAAAGCCTCTGAAAAATATTTGTAAATAGGGTCCTATTAAGCCCAATGAAGGAAAATGTAAAATGTCCCAAAGGCCTACCTAGGTATAGGGTTCCCTCATTAAGTTCAGGCTTTGGCGCTTAGTCAGCCAGTTGTAGTTAGGCTCTAAAGTCAATGCTAGAAGTACCCCTATTGGAGATATAATACATACTAAGTCCCCTGGCCCCACACAACTCGATGAAAAGCTTTGGGACGCAGGAACCCTGAAACCCAAACCCTGAAGCCCTAAACCCCAAAGTCTAAGCCCTGAACCTAAAGCCTTAAACCCAAAACCCTCAACCCTAAAACCCTACCACCCTATAACCCTAAAGCCTTTGCAATTGGAGGTGTCTGAAGGAACTACAAAACTCGCATCAGGCGCTTAAGGGCTTCAAGGGTACAGGGTTTTAGGGCTGAGGGTTCAGGGTTTAGGGTTGGCTGAGGTCTTTAGGTTAGGGGTAGGGTAAGGGTTTATGTGGTCTCACAGCGCTTACAACAGTTTCATGATGCTTTACTGGGCGTTCAACAGGGCTTTACGAGGGCTTCACATGAAACTTCGCGAACTGAACAACATAAGTGAAACTATCCCAAACTTATACTCCGAGTTACGTCCTACCTGCTAGCTGAGTTCCCTCAGATCCTTAAGTTCAAATTAAGCTGACTGAAGTGGAGTGTCTTCTTCGGCATCAGCGCAGAGAAAATCATCCTCGAGCGAAGTTCAGCTCAGTATAGCTAAGTCAGTCCCTATGGGAATATTAGCAGGAGGCCACAGACAATCGGAATCCGCAACTGAGGCTCACAAGAACCAGGATAGAGTCTTGGAGTGAGGCAAACTTGCAGACAGGCTTGTGGAGTGTCCTGCTCGCACCTTTAGGAGAAAAACAGTATAGTGACAGCGTTGCTGATTTCTGAAGCACTGTGTTGTCCCCCGACGCACCTTTCTCAACTAGGTGTAAAGCCTGGCGCACACCCTTGCGAACACCTGCCTAAACCCTAGACCCTAAACCGCTACACCCTAAACCCCTAAACTCTGAGACTAATCCCGTTTCACAAAACTCTCTCCCCAAAATGCAGAGCCCAGCGCCGGATTCTGTGACAAGTCTGGGCACTGCTCCGAGGACCCTGTATTTTTGGAGTTCCACATGCATCTATAGGGTTTAGGAATTAGGGTTTCGACGCATGCACCGCACAAGTTGGCCCTTCAGGGTACCGCCGTGGGAAGTGGAGAAACGTCAAAACAGGATCTAGGGTCGATGTTCTTGTTTAAGGCTTAGGGTGAGGGCTTTCGGGGCTTAGGTTTTGGGGCTAGGGCCTAGGGCCCTTGGGGTCTGGAGCTTAGGGCCAAGACTCGAAAACCCCTCCCAAAGATATCCTGGCATTACAGTATACGAGCTAAAGGAAACTGAAAGCCTCTTGCAAGGCTTCCGTTCTTCGGATATTTTTGAAGAGTCCCAGCGCAAGGGTTACGTTCTTATTGAACAGATCCCTAGCCAGACCCCCGGGAGGATCCACAGTAGATCCCTTAATGAGGGTTCCTAAAGTACCCTTGGTAGTATAGGGCCCCAAATTAGGGGATCTATTTTCTAGATCCTCCCGGAGGTCTGGGAAGCCATGGCCCGCCTACCTTAGTAGAAATAGAGTCGGATACCCGGCTGAAATCTTTGGATCACTTGGGAGTTTCCGAAAAATAGGGGTACCTTTTTTGGGGTCCTTAAGATAAGGATCCTACTATTTAGGGCTAAAATTTAAGGTGCTATATTAGGGTCCCCTCTATTCGGAAACTCCCATTTGACAAAGCTGTGAATCTAATTGAGACCGGATTCAAGTCTTGCACCTCACCCTAAACCCTAAACCCTAAACCCTAAACCCTAAACCTAAACCCTAAACCCTAAACCCTAAACCCTAAACCCTAAACCCTAAACCCTAAACCCTAAACCCTAAACCCTCTGCCCTGCAGTGATGGGTTTAGGCTGGTTGGGGAGCCGTTGAGGCCTTCGGGTTGAGGGTTGAGGCGGTTTATGTGCTTACCTAGACCCTAAGGAACCTACCTTTCCCAAAGGGTCCAAAGTACCGATATAGTAGAATGTAGGGTTTCTGTATTAGGAATTACTATTATGATTTGGGGAAGTATCCCCCATAACAGTACATCGGAGCCTTTGGGTTTTTAGGGTTCCCTAATATGATTTCTTTATATAAGTCCTTAAAAAGGTAGGTCACGTGGGGTTCAGGTAGGGTTTAGTGGTTTAGGGCTCTTTGAGGTTTATAGGAAAATCTCTAACGATAGCTCCAAAGCCGAAGAACCATTGAGCACCAAACCCCCACGGTTGATGATATAAATCCTGCACTACCCATAATAAGGAATATACCATAATACCCATAGTTAGGGTCCTTAAGGTAATGCAGGATTTGTATCATCAACCCCCAGCACTGAAACAACAAAACCCTTTTGTAATGTAGACCCCGGATTAGGGAACCCTCTTCCCTGAATCAGGGATTTGAGGGTTGAGGCTGGGAGGCATTCGTAATGTAGACTTGTCTTAAGGGCCTTAATATTCGGATCCTGATGTTGTAACCATGATTGAAGGGAGGGGGGGGTCACTAATCAACAGTTTACGCTCATCCTGAGACAATACCCCGCAGCCTAAAAACTCTCGACCCCCCGCCCCACGCCACCCCGGCCCAATTCTAACTCTTCAGGCCTCTATGCTATAACCTAAACTCTTAAGGCCTCAGCCGTAAACCCTAAACCCCTAGACCCTCAACCCTAAACCCTAAACCCTAACCCCTAAACCCTAAACCCCCAAACCCTAAACCGGTACCCCCTTAAGGCCTCTTTGCTCTGGGCTAAGATCAGTTGGGTTTTTGGAGTCTCTGACGTGAAGACCAGGGTTCAGGGTTCAGGGTTTATGCTTTGGGGTCTTGAGCTGTTTAGGGTTTAGGTTTTGGGGCTTAGCATTGTTTAGGGTTTAGGTTTTGGGATTTAGGTTTGAAGGCTTAGACTTGTTTAGGGCTTAGATAAAATGGGGGGGTTGCTTGGAGGATCATGGGACTTAGTAATTGGGGTTATAAACAGGGTAACTATACGTATAACTACGTATAACCCCAATTAGGGTACTTATAACCTTACTTGCTAAGTCCCCTGATCCTCCAAGTAGACCCTAAACCCTAAACTAAACCCTATAGATCCCTGTAAGGAACCCTATAGATCCCTTTAAGGAGCCCCCGACTTACTAAGTCCCCTAATCCTCCAAGTAGGGTGTGCGCAGCCATGTGGCTCATCGATCTGAAGCACCGCAGACAGAGCCACCGCGTTCAGGATGAGCTCCTTGGAAATCGGGCTAGGGTTTACCTGGGCCTACTAAACCCTACTTTTTTGTAGGTTCTTATTATAAACCCGAATATGGGATTTATAGGGACCCTACAAAAAAGTAGGTTCTGGTAGGTTAAGGTAGGGTTTAGGGTTTGGGCGCAGTTTAGGTTTGAAGATTTAAGGTTTACCTGGGCCTTACGGAACCTAGATTTTCGAGGTTCCTTGATATGATTTCCTTATAAGAATTGATCTGAAAAGGCAGGTTATTTGGGGTTAAGGTAGGGTTTGGGGGTCAGGTTTGGGATTGTTGAAAGCTTGGCGTTCAGGGCTTAGCTTACCCTACCGCAACCTACTTGTTTTGTTCACTTTGAGTTTCAGAAAAAGTGGGTTCTGTTACGATTCATGTTGAAGTGGGGCACTGGGTCTCGGAACCCAAACTCCATTTTCTCTTTCAAGGTAAGCAAAAGTAGGCCCACAAAAGCAGCAATCATCCAAACAACTACTTGGGAGTTTCCGAAAATTAGGGGGTACCTTATCTGGGGGCCCTTAGAATAAGGATCCTACTATTTAGGGTACTATATTAGGGTGCCCTATTTTCGGAAACAACTACTTACAAGAGGGTTTAGACTAGAAGAGCCTGGGCCCGAATGCTAAGGCATGATGGGCACAGGTTTTACGCGTCAAAGACGGAGTCCAGTCGAAAGTGGGAGGGGTTTTGGTCGTACAGACCCATACAGGGGCTTAACGACCCAAAAGAACCCAATACTCCAACTAAGGATCATACAATGAAAATGACAAGAAGTTCTAAAACGTCGAAGGTCGATTCGTTAGTTTGACTTTCTTATGCTGCAAAGGAATGTGAGACACACTGTAGTAGCAAGAGGCCACCTAGTTTTGGAAGCGTCCTCTCACGCACAGGAGCCTACAGAGGAATCCTGCGATCTCGTCTACAGACATCATGCTCACCGACCGAGCTTTAAGACCACGGCATTCATGTAGCCCTTATAGTAGAAGCCAGAAAGCTGGAACATCATTATCCTCATGCCTTTAAGGCAAAAGCAAAGGGTAAAACTCCTAAAGCCATGTTCCAACTTTCTGGGGTTCACTGTAATCGTATTCCCGACCTTAAACCCTCAACCACAAACCCTAACGTCGCACGAAGCGGGGCGGGCCGTTAAACTTTTGCAAGACGTGGCCGAAGTCTGCAGGGACAATGGCTCACTAGTTTAGAATTTAGAATCAGGGTGCGAATATCCTAGAAAGCCCTGAGCCTAAACCACTACTGCGTAAGCGAGATAGAATCGTGGCACCTTGCGGAGGGAATCGAATCTAACAGTATTGTAGAATTACTACTTGAAGTGCAGCGGGTTTCGCGTTTAGGATTGGTTTAGGTTTGCGTTTAGGGTTGGCTTAGGGTTTGGGGTTTACCGTTGGTTTAGGGCTTCGGGCTTTTGTTGAGGTGTAAGAGCTGGTTGAGGATTGAGATCTCTTCAACGCCGCCTAAGTAGCATTCGCAGGAATGCTTGGAGGGCCGGGAGACAATTCAAGTAGCTATTTTATAGACTTATTAATACCATAACCCACTCAGAATCCCACTCCGGCCCTTAAACCCTCTATGTATTACCTACTTACTAAGCCCTAAACCCTAAACCCTAAACCCTGCAAAACAGGGGGATTCCCCTAAACTACCTCCTCAGCTGCAAAGCTATGCGAGTGCGGAGTTTCTAGCCTAGTACTTGAAAGGTCCCACAGCATCCTTCATCCATAAACTCTAACTCTTAGGGTTTGGGGTTTAGGGTTTTAAGGTTTTAGGGTTTAGGGTTTTAGGGTTTTAGGGTTTAGGGTTTTAGGGTTTTGGGTAAAGCCGGTAAAGCCCTACGACCCCCAGCCCTTTTACCAAACCCAAACCCTAACCCTCAACCCCAAACCCTAAAACCCAAAGCCCTAAACGCTGCCAAGGGGCAGTGATGGACGTCGTCCCTGCTAGCCACTGCACTCCTGCATAGAGAAGGCCGACCTGACTTCAAATCTTCAGAGGAGACCCTACTTGGAGGATGAGGGGACTTAGCAAGTAAGGTTATAAGTACCCTAATTAGGGTTACAAGTAGCTATAACTATGGCTACCCTATTCATAACCCTAATTACTAAGTCCCATGATCCTTCAAGTAACCCATATAACCCCTAAACCCTAAGCCCTGCACTCTAAACCCGACACCAAACTCTAAACCCTAAACCCAAACGAGCAAGACCTCACGTCAGATCTTCGGATGAGAGCGCACTTGGAGAATCAGGGACCGAGTAAAGTAAGGGTTTCGGGCTCCGTTTAAGGGATCTATACGGCTACCACAACGGTTCAGGGTTTAGGGTCAAATCGGAGGATCATGGGACTAAGTACGTATTCAAGACGGTTTACCCTCAACCCTTACAGATACTAAGAGGACTACCTAATCCAAATGCGAGTAGTTCTCTATATCAGGGTCCCTTCTTGGGTCCCTATTCGAGTACGGCACCTATTATTCAGGATCCCCAACAAGGGACCTTAATTTTGACAACTACCCACGTGGCATCCAGGCTTAATCTTGCCGGTGCTAGCGCCTTTTTCATGCCTTTTCTCAGCGACCTGATTACCCCTTTATTCAAAAACATTCCTCAACTCAGTTGGTGAGTTCATAAGCCCCAAACTGTGTACACTGTCAGTTTATAGTGGCTACTGTTATCCCAAAAAGTGTAAAGCGTGTCTACCCAGCTACTAAGTTAATTTATGCCGGGTTCTTGGTCGTTGGGCCTCGCCCCAGCAGTAAACCCTAGATCCTACACTCTTAACCCTAAAAACTAAAACCTGAAGTCCAAAGACTTAAACCCTCAACCCCAGCCTCGGATATCTAAATCCTTCTAGTACCCATGTAGCGGTCCACTCTAAACTTTCATTACGCCCGAAACCCTATACCTTAAACCCCAATCCCGTACCCTAAACCCTCAACCCTAAACCCTGAAGATCGAATCAGCCAGGCGGCAGCAATGAAAAAGCGCGCCAAGCGCATCATGCAGTACCTGGGTTCTTGTTAAGGAACTTAGTTTAACTTTCCATAATCGGGACCTACAATAAACAGTACAGCTTCTTTTCTATGACAACGCGTAGGGCTTAGGGTTACCATTATGGGAACCTAGAGTAGATGGTAGGGTTTCCTCTTGATGACAACTTAACAGGAAAATCCCGTAACAAGAGCCCAGGTACACCGAGAACCGACCATAGGAGATCGTCCGGAAGCCTGCCAGGGAAGAGAGGCGAGACTGTAGGGTTGAGGCTTTGGGGGCTTAGGGTTTAGGGTTTAGGGTTTAGGGGTTTGGGGGCTTAGGGTTTAGGGTTTAGGGTTTAGGGTTTAGGGTTTAGGGTTGAGGGTTTGGGGGCTTAGGGTTTAGGGTTTAGGGTTTAGGATTTAGGGTTTAGGGTTTAGGGTTTAGGGCTTAGGGTTTAGGGTTTAGGGTTTGGAGGCTTAGGGTTTAGGGTTTAGGGTTTAGGGTTTGGGGGCTTAGGGTTTAGGGTTTAGGGTTTAGGGGTTTGGGGGCTTAGGGTTTTTTTTTTTTTTTTAAAGTGTAGTGGCTCTTTCTCCGCTCCGCACGCAGAGCAGGTCTGTAGCCTGCCGATAGGCTTACACTAAGGCAGAGTCTCCATTGATGACAACGGAGAACATAGACAAAGAATCTTGTACTACACACGGCTGCTCAGTTGTGGTTGTCCACAAGGCTCAGTTCAGGTTGTCCTCAAGGCTCATTTCAGGTTGTCCTCAGGGCTCAGGTTCTCGACGTAGCGACGAGGAGGAAGAGGCAGCACGACGACGAGCATTACGGACCCAGACATCACGTGCAGCAAGGGACGAGACAGATGCACCAGGTCGCAAAGCTTCACTAACGTCATCTCGAGAGGCATCTTCACTGTCAACGGAGTCATGTCCATTTCCAGGTGGAGGGGCATCACGGCTGCGACTTCGTTCACGAGGACCATGTTGACAACGGCGTGCAGGAAGTCGACGACGGGCAGCAGGTCGACGACGGCGTACAGCAGGTCCTCGGCGAGCAGGATGTCGTACAGGTCCTCGTGATTCATTTCCCATAGCCAAAGCTTCCACCAAAGACATCCCTGGAGGTAGGAACCGAGGCGGAGGGCGAGGTACACGATGACGTCGTCGACCACTTAGGACCGAAAAGCCCGGAACCGGAGCGCTAGTACCAACGGTAGTACGAGCAGGGCGTTCCTCACCGGACGGCCAATTCGAAACTGGTACGTCTTCACGCTGCTGGACCAGGTACAGACGCTCATCATGTTCATCAGGCCAGGCACCCACAGGATCGCGACCTTCCTCACGCTGATACACCGATCGAACATGTCGTCGCCAAGCACGTCGCCGAAGACCAGCCAAAGTAGCAGCCGCAAAACCTGGGAGCGCATTCTCAATCTCACTCACTGACGGGGGAAAACCAGGATGTAGGCTCACAGACGGCGAGTTCACCCATGGGAAGGTCGTGCTAGTAGAGGGGCCAGAACCAAACCTTGCCTCACTCAAAGCAGCTGCGGTGACTTCAGCCTCAAAGATGCCGATGTTTAGGGGAACAGCACCAAAAGGAACAGTGACCCAGTTCATTGCTTCTTCAATGGCATCCAGCAGTAATCTTTGCTGATGTTGACGAAGTCGAGCTTGGGCAAGGAGGCGCAGCACAAGTTCCACCGTGTCCACCTGGCCACCGTGTACCAGATTAGGGTTTAGGGTTTAGGGTTTAGGGTTTAGGGTTTGGGGGCTCAGGGTTTTTGTTGGGGGGTGTAGGGTTAATGGTTTAGGGTTTAGGGGTCAAGGTTTATAATGTAGGGCATTGAGGTTAAGGTTTAGAGGGTTTTAGGATTCAAGGTGTAGGGCGTAGGGGCCCAGGGGTTTGGGGGAATTTAATCCGACGCGCTGGCAGTTTGCCCTCAACTGTGAAACAACACGCCTTCATCTATGGTGGTATCCACCCCAGTCGTGGTAAGGTCACGCATGTAACTACTGGAAGCAGGAGTCAAGGTAATGTAGGAACCTGATTAAGGAATCCTGCGCCTATAACCCCAAAATAGTAGGATTAATATAAGGTTTCTTAACCAGGTTCATACTTTATCCCCTAAACCCTGTCTTATAGTACCCTTAGAGACTCCTTTAAGGAACCCTTGTAGATCCCTTTAAAGGAACCCTACAACCCTAAACTGATAGAAGAGGAACTTCCCCCCAACCACCCCAGAGCCATCCCACGATTCTCATGTTTGCACTCCACGACCCCATGGAGCGTCTCGGACTGCGGTTTAGGGTTTAGGTTCACAGCTTGACAGGCTTAGGGTTTAGGGGTTAGTGTTTAGGGTTTGGGGGTTAGGAACTTGCACGAACTCGCGATCAGTCAAATTCTTCGCACGAAACCGTCGGTGTGCTTCCGCAAACAATGCTCCAGGCAGTGGCCGGCTGTGGACTCATTGGTCACTGGCGCCTCCTCTCCGCCAAAATGGCGGCGCACTGGACTGTTGACTGCCCTCGGAGCTCACATGAACTCCCCTTACCCCTCTGCAAACAAGGACGGCGAAGGATGGCATTGCATGCCAGGCGGCGCGCCGCCCAGTCAAGCAACTCGTCATGCGACGGGATTTGCGGCCGCTCTCGGCATGGTCTCGGCTTGGCCCTGGTGCCAAGCACAGGCGTTGTTCATGACATGCTCCCTCGGGGCTCCCTTTGAGGGAGCCTGAGGCAGTGACGGGCTCGAGCTCTTTTTGAGCACGAGCTCCGAATCCTTGCCACAGTGAACACATTCTGGCATACGGTCCTTGGAGTGATGCGCTTGCATGTACTTGTGGTTCTCAACCTTAGGATTTAGGGGTTTAGGGTTTAACGGTTTAGGGGTTTAGGATGGTTTAGGGAGAGTTTAGGTTTCAGGGGTTCGGGGTTTAGATCGTGGTACAGGCATCAGAACGCCCTACTTACAACATACCTACTCTAAAGTCCTCGGGGCTTTAGGTTAGAAGGCACTACTTGGAGGATCATGGGACACAGTTTCTAGGGTTATAACTAAGGTCACGACAGATAACTAATGCCTTAGAAGCTGCCCCCACCCTGTAATAGTGACTGTAAGGATCATATTAGGGCCCTATTATATTCCTATTATGCCACTATTACAGGGTGGGGGCCCCTTCTAACTAAGGCCCATGATCCTCCGAGTAGGGCTGTTAAAGCCAGAGTCTAGAGCTGCACGGATCCCACATCTTGCTGTGGCATGGCGGCCGGCTCGTGTTTAGGGCTCAGCGTTTAAGGCTTACGGTTGAGTTCAAAAGCCTTAGAAAAAAGATATAGTACCCTTATAGTACCCAAATCCTAAAGCCTCAAGCCCTAAACCTAAACCGTAAACACAACCCCTAAACTCGAAACCCCAAATCGTTTCAAAACTAAAGGATCATGGGCCGTATTAACTAGGGTCGTAATTGGGGTAAACCTAAACCCTAAACCCCTAAAGAAACCCTGAAGTAGATCCCCTAAAGGACCCTTTTACTTGGAGGATCCTGGAACGTAGTAACCGGGTTATACATAAGTTACATAAGGTAACCCTAAAAACCTGAAGCCTAACCCTAAACCCTAACCCAATTAGGAGACTTCTAACCTTACTTACTAAGCCCCATGATCCTTGAAGCCGGGCCCTCCCTTGAAGGAACCCAACAGGGAACCCTTAAACATAACGGAAGCTAGTAAGGGACCCTTACAGGAGCCCCTTACAAGGAACCCTTAGAGTCTAGGAGTTTGCTTGAGGGCTCCTTTGAATGCTATACTCTATAGGGTCCCCCATTAAAGGCTTTTGGGGTCCTTTATAAGGTTGCCTTTAAACGGCTCTATAGTAGGATCCCCTTTCAAGGTTAGGGGTTTAGGCTTTAGGGTTTAGGCTTTAGGGCCTGCCGATGAAAATGCCAGTGGCCTCCTCGGCCCTGCCATTGGGTCTGAAAGGAGCGAGGAATCTGCGAAACAGCCTGGTCAGATGTGGAAGGCTTTTTGGGTTTAGGGATTAATTGTTGGATTTGTGCTTTAGGGCTTTAGGATTTCAGGGTTTAAGGTTTTTGGCTGTGCGTGGGGTTTCGGGCTAAGGGCTTTGGGGCTTCAGCCTTGTTGGCTCTTGCTACGGTTGTAGCGTAGGGAACTCAGTTCATGGTTGGGATAGGATTAAAAATGTACATTTTTATTCCTTTTTGGGTTTACGTACCCATAAAAATGTAAAATGTTACCCAACTATGACAAAGGGTTGAGGGGTATCCCGTAAATGAGCTGATGCTCCTTGTTCTGATTTCAGGCATGTTCCTTAGGTCAGTGCTGCTCTGAAGTATATGGATGGTGCGGTGGCAAGATGTAGCTACCCATAGGCCCCAAAGTAGTTCCTTTTTGGGATTACCTTAATTACAGGATTCTACATATGAACCCCAAAAAGGACATACTTTGGGGCCTTAGGGTAGGCTTGCTCTGGACGCTTTCCCCACATCCAGCTGCCAGACTGCATGGACGTGGCTCTATCCCGGCATCGCGCTGATCAAGACAAGGCACAGGCACCTGCGATGTCCAAATCCCATAAACCCTAAATCCTACACTACAACCCGAATTAGACCCTAAAGCTCTTGCATTTTGGTTCGCGCCTCCTGACATGGGTGGTTGTCAAAATTAGAATCCCTTTTTGGGTCCGTAATATAATACGACACCTAATATGTAGGGTACCCAAAAAGGGACCCCAATTTTGACAACCACCCACATCGCAGGGCTGGAGAAGTCAAGTGCTGAGCAACCAAACGAGCTCCGAGCCGTTCAAGACTTTAGGCATTAACATGCATGAATGTCTACCCAGACCCCCGCGAGGATCCAAAAAGTAGATCCCTTAATGGGGGTTCCTATAAAGTACCCTTAGTAGTATAAGGGCTCCAAATTAGGGGCTCTACTTTCTATATAGGTCCTTTGGGGGTCTGGGTACGGTTTTAAGATGTTCAAGATTCACGGTGTAAGGCATGGGGTATGGCGTCCAAGAATTTAGGCCTTACCCTAAGGCTCCTATGAGGTGATAAGGTTTCGGAACTCCCTAAACCTTTTGCATTTCCCTAAGGCTCCGGGACCAGTGAGATTCCAAACCCTAGGCCGACAAAGCCCCGGAACGTTCAAGATTCAGTTCAAGGTTTAGACCCTAAACCCTAAACCCTAAACCCTAAACCCTAAATTCCCACCCAGGCCTGCTTAGGCCGTACCCACCCTTTTTCTTAGGGTGCTTGGACCCAAGAAGGAAATCCGGCAGTGATTGACACCAACTCTGGATGGACAATGGGTGGAGCCATTGGAGAGTGGTCGAATTCAGCCCCTAGGGCTGAGCCAAGCCATTAGGCCCCTTGCGTGGCGCCCATATTCGCAGAGGGAATTCCCTCGAATCTCAAGAGATTAGAATACCCTAAATCCCTTGTGGCCCTTTCCATTTGGCTCCCCTCAGAAAAGGGCCCAGAGGCCGGCCCAGGGGCCCCTCAGCTGGCAGATTCCAGGGACCCGGGGGGCTCCTGGCGGGTCACAACCCTGGGAGTGTTGGGGCGCCATCCTACATAGAAAATACTGCCGCTGCGCGGCGAGACGCCCTAAACCCTAAACCCTAAACCCTAAACCCTAAACCGAGTTCAGGGCTCCGGGATTAGGAGGGTGGAGGGTATGGGGCCGTAAGGCTTAAGCTTTGGGGGGTTTCGGTTCATTGGGCGGGCTTTGGGATCTGGTGTGGGGGGCAAAAGCTGATCCCTAAACCCTAAACCCTAAACCCTAAACCCTAAACCCCTAAACCCTGAACTCCACACCTCCAAAGAAAAGATGACCAGCCGGAATTCATTGACCAGGTAAAGGCACCTCGGTGGAGAAGACCGCGGGGCTAACCAGCGACGCTTCGGGGTTTAAGGCCAAGGGTTTCGGGTATCTAGAAATTTTTGGGTTTAGGAGTTATGGTTGTTTAGGGTTTAGGGTTCAGGGTTTAGGGTTTAGGGTTTAGGGTAAGCCCCTAAGCCCCTAAACCCGAATCCCTATACCCCAGGGTTGAGGGTTTAGGAGATCAGGGCTTAGGCCTCACAATATCAGCTCGTCTAAAGGCTTCCTTTTGAAGGTTCCCAAAACCGGCTCGATAAGGATTCCTTTAAAGGCCTCGATAAGGGTCCTCTGTAGGGTTTGCGGCGTCGCATTCTAGCTAAGGGCTTGGGGCTTGGTAGGATTAGATGTTTTGAATTGTCGACAGTAGGGTTGTATCCATGTGGGCGTGCAAATAACCCTGGATATGAGCAATAGGGGTTACGGTTTAGGGCTCGGGATACGAAAGTCTGAGCTTCTTTGCGGGCATGCAAGAAAGCCAAGCGTATGGCTGAGTATAGCAAAACCATGATATTCACTCCCACAAGCCATGGCAGCACCAATGACGCCGCCGCCACGACCACTAAAACCACCACTACCACCACCACCATCATCACCGAGACCGTCGCCCAGAGTAACACCCAAAATGCACAGCAGCTGCACCTGCTGTCCATGACAAGAACCGCACACAGCAAGTGCACGTTTTGCCAATCTACAGAGTCAGAATGCAAGGACTACTTTCGCTAAATGCTTCAGGGCTTCAGGATTTCTTGCTCACTCATGTCGCGGAGCGCTGGCCGTCTCCCAAGTTATCGTTGAACAAAGCATTGGCGCATGCCGTCTTACGCAGACTCGAAGCTAGGTGGGGCTTTTAGAGCCTTTGAAAAATATTAGTAAATAAGATCCTCTTAAGCCCAATACGGGAAAATATAAAATGTCCCAAAGCCCTACCTAGAAAGAGAAACAGCATGAATGAAGTGTTGCCCATTGCCCCGGCCCCCACTCCAGCTTGAAAACGATGTCCCGCAATCTGTTCTAGACCCAAGAATAACCTAGGAATAAAAAGGGTGCCCTTTTTGGTTTAAAGGGGCTTATAAGGGAACCTGAACCCTAAAAAAGGGAATAAGGGCCTACTCTAGGTCCTAGTGTTCCAGCGTGTGACGAACCATTCCGCGCGCGCATGACGACGTCCCTCAAAGCCGGTTGGCTAAGAACTGCCCGCCATAATGTCAACCCAGACCCCCGTGAGGATCTAGAAAGTAGATCCCCTAATTTGGGGCCTTAAACTACTAGGGGTGCTTTATAAGAACCCCCGTTAAGGGATCTACTTTGTAGATCCTTTCGGGGGGCTGGGAAGCCCCTAGCAACTCAGTAGGCTCTCCGCATCGAGCTTTCTGCGCAGCTCTCGCACTATAGCACGTTTGAACTGTAGCAAGCACCTGAAAACTGGAGTGTTGTCGGAAAGGTTGGCTCAAAATCTTTAAACCCTAAACCTTAAACCCTAAAATATACCGAAACCGCAAACGGCACTATGAACTTTACCTCATGCCCCAGCAACCCTGTCAGACTGGAGACCGAAAAGGGTTTAGGGTTCAGGGGTCTCGGGTTTAGGGGTTTAGGGGTTTAGGGTTTAGGGGTTTGGGTTTGGGCTCTTGTTTCAGGGCTCAGAGCGTAGGGAAGAATGACACCCCAAATCGCAAACCGTTGAAGCGCCAGTGCAGTAGGGTTTAGGGTTTAGGGGTCACTCAGAGGCGACGTAGGTGAAGCCCTGCATTCTTCAAACTCCGTCTTGCAAAGGGGAAAAGGAGGGACCCTTAATGGGGACCCCTACCCTATCTAGAGGTCCTTATTAAGGGTCCCTCCTTTTACCCTTGGAGTCTTGCAAGACTCCGACAGCGGAGGGCAAGTGCACAAACCCAAAGTCTGAAACATCCCATGGACACAGCAGCAGTGTCACGAGGTCGCTACACCCACGCATTAAACAGAGGCTGTTCCACCCAAAGACCAGAAGCGAAGACATCAGCACTGAAACCCAACGCACGCTCCACCCCTAAACCTTCAAAGCCTAACCTCTAAACCCTAAAATCTACACCCAACCCTTAACCCAAACCTCTACAACCCCAAATCCCAGACCGCAACCTGCAAATCGCCCTCCGAAGCTGCAAGCCAAGGCACCACAGAAGGATGCACATCATGCAGAGGAGTACTCCCGGTTGAAAATAAGGCGCCTCCTTGAAACGGCAAGGTCTCATCAGGGTCTCTGATTTCGCTTCGGGGTTTAGGGGTCTGGGGTTTAGGGTTTAGGCTTTACGGTTTCGGGGTCGTGCCTTGGGTCTCTCTGTAAGACTTTTGAAGGATCCCTACACCCAATCTTTACACGAAAAACCTCCCTTTCTCAGGGCTGCTTATGATGATTTCTTTGTCCGTACAATGGCAAGCTATTTGGGGCCAAGGCAAGCCCTAACGCTAAAAACCTAAACCCCAAACCCCAAACTATCAATCCCATCCCAAAACCCTAAACCCTAAACCCTATAACCATGGGAAGACGCCAAAGCGCTCAGACTCGTGTGCATAGCTCTGGCAAAACACCCTAATGTAGGAACCTGCTGTAGAGGAACCTTGGGCCTTTATTCGGGTTCCTTATATGAATCCTAATATTTTGGGGTTATAGGCCCAGGGTTTCTTTATCAGGTTCCTACGTTATAACTTCAACCCTGTACCCTTCAAGTGGTCCCGGCGCTAGTTTGTCGCAATCCCAAAGATCCTGCGAACCTGAATAGTTAGACCAGTGCTCCTAGAAGGGCTCTAGAAGAGTTCTAGGGTTCAGCGTTTAGGGTTTAGGGTGCTTGGATGGTCGGAGCGGAAAAGTGATACTGGTCTGCCCTGATAAACTCGAAACACTCATGTAGTACAGGTATTGTACACTCATGTAGAAACCCTAAACCCCTAAACCCCTAACCCTAAACCCTAAACCCTAAGCCCTAAGCCCCCCCCAAAAACCGTCAGGCCTGGGACCTCAATGTGCAAATCAACAACAGCCCTGAATGCAACTTAGAGGATCATGGGACGTAGTAACCAAGGGTATAAACCAGGCAACTGCAGCTATGATTACTTATAACTCCAACTACGGTGTAGGCCCTAGGGTTGGAGTTCAGGGTTTCTGGTGGAAGGTTGAGGGTTTAGGGTTCGGGGTTTAGGGTTTGGTTCCGGGTTTAGCGGTTGGGGTTTGTACAGCCTTGCACTTTACACCCTGGCCCTGAAACATGAGTCCCAACCCTAAAGTGCAGAAAGCAAGAGAACCCCTCAAAACCATAACTAGACCTAAGAGTAGCCTAGGAATAAAAAGGGTGCCCTTTTTGGTTTAAAGGGGTTTATAAGGGAACCTGAACCCCAAAAAAAAGGAAATAAGGGCCTACTCTGGGTCCTAGATAAAATCCAAACATCCATCTCGAGAAGCTCTACCCGGAACCCTAAGCCCTAAGACCCAAAGGCCTGAACTTCAAATCCCACACCCGAAAGGGAACTCCATAGGGTTTAGGGTTTAGGGTTTAGGGTTTAGGGTTCAGGGTTTAGGGTTTAGGGTTTAGGGTCTAGGGTTTAGGGTTCAGGATTAATGATAGGATCCCCTATAGTTTACCTTGAAGGGGTTACGATAATGATATTCCAACTTTCTGGCTTCTACGGTAACCGCACCGAGTCACGAGATCTTCCCTGCCTAGGCCGATGAAAGCATTGATCCTTGGCTTCAGGATCTCCGATGTAGGATGTGTAATATGGGAGTTATGGGAGTTTCCGAAAATAGGGGACCCTAACATGGTACCTTAAATGGTAGGACCCTTACTAGAAGGACTACGAAATATGGTACCCCTAATTTTCGGAAACTCCCATATCGGGGCTTTAGGGTTGAGAAAAAGTTGAGGGGGGGGGGGTGTTGTAGTACAACATTATAGGGACGGTTTAGGGTTTAGGGTTTAGGGTTTAGGGTAGGGACTATGGGGGGGGGGGGGGGGTGCTACAAATACACCACCATTCAGACCTCTATTTATCTCGTTACTTTTTGACGTAGTCCAAGTTTTTGGGGCTTGGGGCGTGAAACTTCTTGACTTGGTGGATTCAGGGTTTTTCCCTAAACCCTAAACCCTAAACTTGGGGTGTGGGGTCCTCGGCTTAGTTTATGGTTTCGGGTTTGGGGGCTCAGGACTGAAAATCACCTGCTCTCAGCCGGCCTTGTCCTTTTGGGGGAAATGGACGGGGCCCTTTACCCTAGTCCCTTAATAAGAAGCCCTTAAAGAAGGTACCTTAACCGATCTGTCTATTCTTTATTAGGGGACCATAACAAAGGACAACAGTGCTCTCAGCCGATGGGCCACCAGAACAACTAACATAGGGGCCTTAATAATTGGAATAAGGGTTTTGGCGCATATTATACTATGTTTGTAATAAGGAACCCCCAAAATAGTATAGGAAATTCTTACGGCTCCTAGAGTAGCTCTCGGCCTCAGGCTAAGCAGGGGAGGTTCGTCAGACTTCATTGTCAGAAGACTTTACAGTTGAGTTTCGTGCAGGCTGAGGCTGAAGTGAAGGGTTTAGGGTTTGTTTAGGGGTTTAGGGTTTTTTGAAGGGAAGTCAGAACTCACTGAGTGCAAACAGTTATGCAACTGCCCTCTCATCATCGGCAGACTTCTGCCCACTCCGTAGGCAATCAGCAGCCCTTCCTCGCCGTTGCTCGTGCGGGGGAAACTAGATGGCGAGAGGATGAAACGGCCCTTCCGTACGAAGACCGTCCAGCACTCGGCCGAAGAAAAAGGACGCGCTCTGCGCGCCCGCAAAATTGCAGAGCCACAAGAGCGCCTCCACAAGCTGTTGGACTCGGTCAAACTGCTCGCACAACGCTACTGGCAAATCTTCAACGGTGAGACCCTGAAAAGCCAGCCGCTGAACAATCGAACACACGGTGCTCGGCAGCTCGTGAGGATTGGAGCTGGCGATGTGCAGAAGGTGGGAGAGAGGCCTCTGCCAGGGAGCGCAGGTTGGTGGATCCACCGCGCGAGTCTCCTGCGGTGCAAGAGTAGCTTATGACGGCTTGGGGCCTTGCAAGCGCATGGCGGGCTTCCAAGAGAAGGCGGTGCCAAGGACTGGAGGCGGCGGAGGGAGATCCGCTTCCTAAACCCTAAACCCTAAACCTTAACCGTTAAGCAGGCATCGCCGGCACTGTTTGAGGTGTTGATTGCCAGCCGGTTGAAGTCAAACCGGCCCATCGTCGTCCGACCAGCTGCAGCCGGGAAGGGGGCAAGTGAGCAAGCAGCACAGTAGAAGAAAAGGCATGGAGTGTATTATGATGTAATATCATATGATCTGGTACACTGTAATATGATGTGACATAAGAAAGGAAGATATTATACGAAATGATGTTAGTATAACATAATACAACGTAGCAGAAAACATATATCATAATACATTATCAGATGACATCTTATACCAAAACAGAACATAGCACAATATACGAAAATGCAACATATCATAGGCTTGTTGTGATATAGCACTATAATAAAACAAAATAGTCCCAGCTAGGTCTTGTTTTCACTGTTTTGTAGTATCCTTGAGGGAGGGGGGTCCAAGGGGGGTATATAGCCTAGTGATCCCGAATTCTCCCTAGTACTCCCTAAGGTTCCCTTACAGTCCCCCAAGGATTCCTTATACCCTCCCCCCTTGGCCTTGAACCACCCTCCCTTAAGGATCCTATAAGTAGAAGACTTGCCACGGCCAGGGCCTCTGATCTGCGGTTATGACATCCTGCTCCAGGAACCCTGGGTTCCTTTAAAGGGATCTATAAGGGTTCCTTTAAAGGGATCTATAAGGGTTCCTTTAAAGGGATCTCTAAGGGTTCCTTTAACAGGGGTCCATAAGACTTCTATAAAGGGGTTTAGAGTTTCCTGGGACGTTAAAATTGAGGCCTTAAACCAATAACTCTTAAGAAATTTGGCCGAATTCCACGGCTGATCTCACGCCGAGGAACCCTCACCCTAACCTCAAACCCTAACCCTAACCTCAACCACGGGATTCAGGAGTTTGGGGTTTGAACTGACAGCCTCAGATCTCGAACCATCCCAATCCACGGTTTAGGGGTTTAGGGTTTGGGGTTCAGGGTTTAGGGGTTTAGGGTTCAGGGTTTTAGGGAAGTTTAGGGGTTTAGGGCTAGGGGTTTAGGGCTTGGGGTTTAGGGTTTAGGGGTTTAGGGTTTAGGGCTTAGGGTTTAGGGTGAAGTAAAACCCTTCGGGTTTACGTCCTTAGCCCCACACCGTAAACACAAACCCGACATCCTACATACTGGACCTCGGACCCTAAACCCTAAACCATTAAAGACCCTAAATTTAAATGCCACAGGAGAAAGTTATTTCTGCGGTGCGGTGTGGAAGTCGCTGAACCCGAAACCCTCCTGAACAATATGATGGGAGGCCAAACGGGGGGTTTAAGATTCTTGGGGTAGGGATTCCATAATATGAACCCTATTAAGGGAAGCCTAATCCCTACAAAACCCCCATAGGCTAAAACCCCTTTTGGCCTCCTATGACACAATAGTCTGCTCTTCCTGCAGTATACTGCGGTGAGGGTCTGGTCCAACAAATGCGTCTGTTGAGTAGCCACAATCAGTGTGCCATCGAGTCTGCACACTCCTTCGTGGCATCTAGGGCTCGTGATTTCGAGTTTGGGGTCAGGGTTGATGGCTTGCTTCATGAAGCACTATAGGGTGGCTCTGTTTCTAGCTCCTTCATGTGTTAAGGGTTCAGTTGTATTTGGTTGTTTGCCGTGTTGGGCCTATGGCTTCTATCGCGAGATGAAGTTCCTGTTGCAAGTTCAGATTATCCCATGTTAAGCTTCAGAGTTTCGGTTTCCTTCCCTCTATGAACCACAGTCTTTGTCCACGAGAAGCAGAGGTTCAGAGCTGAAGTTGTGAGATAACAGCATAAGCATAGGGTTTAGGGTTTAGGTTTAGGGTGTAGGAGTCTTAGTTCGCAGGCCATAAGCCCCAAACAGTGTACACTTTCAGTTTTGTAGTGGGTAATATTATCCCGAAAAAAGGAAAGTGTATCCACTCAGCTGCTACGAAGTTTAGGGTTTAGGCTGTAGAGGCCCACCCCTCAGCTGGCGTAGGGTTGAGGGTTGACGGTTTACGGTCTTAAACAGAAACGAGTTTTGGAGTATTGCACGCACACGATAAGGAGCTCCACTGTAAGGTATGATATTCGTATTTAGTCAACCTTCTATACTTCTATACTTAAACATCCTCGCATCCTCGAACCTTTTTGTGTTTAGGGCTGCGTCGCACAACCGCTATTTTGCACAGCTTGGGGCGGCAAATAAAGTCAAAGCCACAGCCTAAGGAGCCCTCACCATAAACTCAACACTTTAGGGTTTAGGGTTTAGGGTTTAGGGTTTAGGGTTTAGGGTTTAGGGTTTAGGGTTTAGGGTTTAGGGTTTAGGGTTTAGGGTTAAGCAAGCTTTCGTGCAGGCCCGGGTGCTTTGCACGAGGCTTTCTTCACCCAGGTCCATGTGCTTGTAATCGTGGGCCACCGTCCTTTCGTTTGCTGAGGATTGGCTTCGAGGTTACAGCTTTAGGGAATCGGTTTGAGGTTTCGGGTCGAGGGTGTGGGGCCGGAGGTCATTGAACTTGTAGAATCAGGGTTTAGGGTTTAGGGTTTAGGGTTTAGGGTTTAGGGCTTAGGGTTTAGGGTTTAGGGTTTATTCAAAACTCCCGAGTTGAAATTACGCAAAGTCTAAACCTCAAACCCTGACAACCGGAAGCCCTCTTCCTTACAAGCCCATCAGCCTCTGCAACCCTCCTACAAGCCCGGTATGAGACCCTAGCAACCGCTTATGCACCCGTCCTCTAAATCCCTTTTGAAACCCGATGCAAGGCTCTGGAAAACCCTGAATGTGAGGGTCAGCAGAGGGGGATGGTGTCGGCCACCTGCTCGGCTCTCAGCAGTGCAGTGCGATGCTTCCAATCCCAGGAGACACCGAGCCACCAGGATCACTCAACCCTAAACCCTGAACCCTAAATCCTAAACCCTGAACCCTAAATCCTGAACACTGAACCCTAATCCGTAACAATGCAGGGCCTTATGTGGGTTTCTTGTTAAGGAACTCTAGGTTCCCGAGTAGCCGTAGCCTCCGAATAATGAGGTTACCCTTTTGCCTACTAGTTAGTTTTAATCAGGGCACCCAAAACAAGAAAGGCAAAGAGGTACTCAGGTACTGCTTTGCAACCTAGAACTTAGTTTAAGATATAATCGGCATCCGCCGCAATTAAAAAGTCGTAACAAGAACCCAGTGAACGATTAGAATGTCGCTTAGGTGCACATTATAGAGTAATTATGAAGGAATCGCAAAGTTGTACTGTTGGCCTCTGAACTTACAATCCTCGAACCCTGAAACCCTAAACCCGCCGATTAATCCCCAAACAACCCTGGCCCTAAACCCTACATCAAACTAGGCCCCAAAACCTAGAACAATCGAAAACCTCTGCAAAGCTTGAACCCGCAACAACTCAACAAATCCGAGCCTAAGTCACTACACAAAGGTCGGACGAATTCGCAATAGAGTTCTTCTAAGTATACTGTCGTATAATCAAAACCCGTGCCTTCAGGCCCCTAAACTAGACCCTCCTCTACATCATAAGAAAAACATTGACACTGACACAAAACCCCAAACTCTAAACCTCAAACCCTGAGCCCTAAGCCCTATTCTGTTTATTCAGGACGCGATAGTTTGCCCAAAGCCTCTAGGCTGAAACTGATGCATTTAAGCAGCTCCCGCCACTTTCGCGCCCCCTCCACCTTCCAGAAATTGCTGAGGGTTGCTTTCTGAGGGGGGTTAGAGGTTCGGGTTTAAGGTCACCTAGGGTTTAAAGTCTAGGTCTGCACTGCCTTCCACAAAACGCAACATATACAGCTGCTTAAATCAAGTTTGATAAGCAAGTCAAACTCAAGCAGCACTAAAAGCACTTTAGAAAAGTTGGAGCTACACTATTACAAGGCTCTTAACTCACGCAAATTACAGAAGAGCCTGCAGGTGGCTTTGGCGCTTCTGCTTCAGGGCTTGCAAAGGGAACCCAATGTTTCATGGATCTCCAGTTGCTCAGAGAGTGAAACAACCATAAGGGTTTGAGCACGTACCTTTTCGTGCATGGTCGAAACCCCAAACCTGATACGGCTCCTTGATCTTAGGGTTTAGGGTTTAGGGTGTCGGGTATCCTTCAGAAGGTTTTGTCTGCTGAAGTTGGAAGCCATTCCGGCCACAGGGATCCCAGACCCTGGACCCCAGACCCTACTATAGAGACCTTAATAACCACAATAGGGTTTTGGGGCCCAGTACACTATAACTAAATAAGGAACCCCCCCCAAAATAGTCTTGGTAGTTATTTCAGCCCCTAGTTATATTAAACCCTCAGGCCTGAGCTCGAAACCGGTTTAAGGTTTAGGGTTTAGGGTTTAGGGTTTCGGGTTTAGGGTGTGTGTTGGGCTGCAGAGAAGTTCCTGCTGCTGCGCCTAGACAGTTGACCCTACTTGGTTGGAATTTAGCAAGTAGGCAGTAACTAGTTATAAGAGTCGTAAGCGGGAGCCTGAAAGGGGCTATGGTACTTATAAGTTTAAAACTCTAAAAAAACTAATTAACTACTTACTATGTCCACCGGTTCTCCAAGCAGATACTCATCCCTACAGAAGAGAACGCTTAGTTTCAGAAAAGCAAGCGAGCCCTAGTTATTAACTACAAGGGAAACGGAACCTCATGATATTACACCCCGAGAATAAGGAAACCATAATGCGCAGGGCCTTCACGAAGCTTCTTAATGCTGGCCTAGACATTGAGGCGAGGCACCCAGCCCTGCAAGACACTGGCTTACTATGTCGCGGAGGGCTTCGAGCTCATGGTGTAGGCGGTATTTGAAGGATCCCCCAAGCACCAAGACGTAGACTCTTGAAGGAAGATACTTTTGCTGTTTTCGGCCCTGTAACCTGCAACCCAGACCTTCAACGCTGGCTTATTTGAGGGCTGCGGGCGGTTCCAAACAACCAGATTCCGCCTGCTGCGAGAAGGGCTCACCCAGAAAGTCCTCGAAACGCGGAGGCGACTTTAGGGTCAAAGGACTAGTAAGGGTATTGCTACGTGTTCAGGCATAACCCGCTAAACCTCACTTCGATGATCATGGGACTTAGTCACAAGGGTCCCAGCAAGTTGTTGCTATCATTGCTATCATGTATCACCGTCGCTATCATCATCGCCATCAACATGTTGAGTTGTGGGCTTTCTTGGTGGCTGGGACCATGAATAGGATAACTATAGCTCTCCAACTCGTTAAGCCAGAACCGTAAACCGTAATCCAAAAAAACGGAAACCCCGAAACCCTGAACAAAGGAACCCGTCAAGACCCTAAACCTAAACCCTAAAAAGACCTCCGAGAGAAGGGGCCGGTCCTCAGAAAGAAGGATGACCTGAGATCTCTCCACTGAGAGGGAGTAGGAAGCCCTAAACTCTGAACCCTTGGTCTTTCAGGAATCTTGAAAAATAAAAAAGCGGTTTTGGGCTGGAGGTTGGAAGGGCTTGTTTTTGACAGTTTCCGGGGAGATGGCTCTAATTATGGTCCGACTTTCAACCTACTTACAGAGCCCCCTGATGATGTAAGTGGGGAGGGAGTCTACAGGACCTGAAAATTACGTGCTTGGGTTAGGATAGTAGTAATGTAGTCTAGTATGCGGGGTGTATGTGCTTATTACACACTTGGACCCTGGGGGTTCTGTTGGGTTTCCAGAAGGATTCAATTCCGTAAGGGCCCCGAACCGCAACATTAAACCCGAAACCAGGGCTATGTAAGAGTTCTACCCGCCTCCGTCCCACACCGCATGCATAAATCTGAGCCTTGATCCCGAAGCCGTTTGAAGCAATGTACTCAGAAGTTGTACGATTTTCAGGACGGCTGAAACAAAGATGTGAAACCTCTCCGAAGATATAAACTTCCGTTTCTTTGACTAAAGCGACTTACTGGCCCCCCATATGAACAAAGGGTTAGCGGATGCTGCACTACTACGGTTTATTGCCAGATGTCTCGATTACGTTACCAAGCAACCTACCAGCGACGAGGCTTGGGGACACGACTACGCTACCATCGCAAGCTTGTGGCTGCGTGCAACTTACCAACGACGAGGTTTGGGGACACGATTACGTTGCCATCGCAAGCTTGTGGTTGTGAGCAACTTACCACCGAAGAGGTTTGGGGACAACACGATTACGTTACCATCGCAAGCCTGTGGTTGTGAGCAACTTACCAACGACGAGGTTTGGGGACAACACGATTACGTTACCATCGCAAGCTGGTGGCTGCGAGCAACTTACCAACGACGAGGTTTGGGGACACGATTACGTTACCATCGCAAGCTTGTCGTTGTGAGCAACTTACCAGCGACGAAGTTTCTTAACACGATTACGTTGCCATCGCAAGCTTGTGGCTATGAGCAACTTTTCAGCGACGAGGTTTGGGGGCACGATTACGTTACCATCGCAAGCTTGTGGCTGCGAGCAACATACCACCGACGAGGTTTGGGGACACGATTACGCTACCATCGCAAGCTGGTGGCTGCGAGCAACTTACCAACGACGAAGTTTGGGGACACGATTACGTTACCCTCGGAAGCTTGTGGTTGTCAGCAACTTACCAACGACGACGGTTGGGGACACGCTTACGTTACCATCGCAAGCTTGTGGCTGTGAGCAACTTACCAACGACGAGGTTTGGGGACACGATTACGTTACCATCGCAAGCTTGTGGCTATGAGCAACTTACCAACGACGATGGTTGGGGACACGATTACGCTACCATCGCAACATTGTGGCTGCGAGCAACTTACCAACGACGAGGTTTGGGGACACGATTACATTACCATCGCAAGCTTGTGGTTGTCAGCAACTTACCAACGACGAGGTTTGGGGACACGATTACGTTACCATCGCAAGCTTGTGGCTATGAGCAACTTACCAACGAAGAGGTTTGGGGACACGCTTACGTTACCATCGCAAGCTTGTGGTTGTGAGCAACTTACCAACGACGACGGTTGGGGACACGCTTACGTTACCATCGCAAGCTTGTGGTTGTGAGCAACTTACCAACGACGAGGTTTGGGGACACGAATACGTTGCCATCGCAGGCTTGTGGTTGTCAGCATTATACCAACGACGACGTTTGGGGACACGATTACGTTACCATCGCAAGCTTCTGGTTGTGAGCAACTTACCAACGACGAGGTTTGGGGACACGAATACGTTGCCATCGCAAGCTTGTGGCTGCGAGCAACTTACCAGCGACGAAATTTTTAAACACGATTACCTTGCCATCGCAAGCTTGTGGCTATGAGCAACTTACCAACGACAAGGTTTGGGGACACGATTACGTTGCCATCGCCGCAAGCTTGTGGTTGTTGTCAGCAACTTACCAACGACGAGGTTTGGGGACACGATTACGTTACCATCGCAAGCTTGTGGTTGTGAGCAACTTACCAACGACGAGGTTTGGGGACACGATTACGTTGCCATCGCAGGCTTGTGGTTGTGAGCAACTTACCAACGACGAGGTCTGGGGAGACGGTTAAGTTACCATCGCAAGCTTGTGGTTGTGAGCAACTCACCAACGAGGACGTCTGGGGACACGATTACGTTACCATCGCAAGCTTGTGGTTGTGAGCAACTTACCAACGACGAGGTTTGGGGACACGATTACGTTACCATCGCAAGCTTGTCGTTGTGAGCAACTTACCAACGACGATGGTTGGGGACACGGTTACGCTACCATCGCAAGCTTGTGGCTGCGAGCAACTTACCAACGACGAGGTTTGGGGACACGATTACATTACCATCGCAAGCTTGTGGTTGTGAGCAACTTACCAACGACGAGGTTTGGGGACACGATTACGTTACCATCGCAAGCTTGTGGCTATGAGCAACTTACCAACGAAGAGGTTTGGGGACGACACGATTACGTTACGATCGCAAGCTTGTGGTTGCGAGCAACTTACCAACGACGAGGTTTGGGGACACGATTACGTTACCATCGCAGGCTTGTTGCTGCGAGCAACTTACCAGCGACGAAGTTTCTTAGCACGATTACGTTGCCATCGCAAGCTTGTGGCTATGAGCAACTTTTCAGCGACGAGGTTTGGGGACACGATTACGTTACCATCGCAAGCTTGTGGCTGCGAGCAACTTACCAGCGAAATCGAAAAGGTTTAGGCGGTTTAGGTTTTAGGGTTCAAGACGACTCGTGTTTAGGGTTCAAGACGACATGTGCGTGGAGTTAATCATGTCTGGAAGACACTTGGCTGCCCGGCCCAGCCCATGCGCACAGCCAAGCTCTCCCACGGCCCAGCCCAACGGGCCCCTTCCGCGCCCAGCCCGCCCAACAACGAGCCCAGCCCAGCACCCAATTCCAAAATCAGGCTTCAGTCAGAAAGCCTGGTCAAACCTTTCGCTTGGCACTCTCGGTCAAAACTTTCGGTCAAAACGTTTTTGGCAGCCCCAAAGCTCACTTGTGTCAGGAGTCTATGGGGAAGAGGGTGGAGGTCCATGTCTTGTAGCATGTTGAAGATTGTGGGTCGAACTATCGGCCCGGCGCAGCCTCCAGTTTCGAGGCAAGAGTCCTCTCCTTTGCAGTCCTGGTTATGGGGAAGAGGGTGGAGGTCCATGTCTTGTAGCATGTTGAAGCTAGTGGGTCGAACCATCGGCCCGGCGCAGCCTCCATTTTCGAAGCAAGAGGTCCTGGTGAGAGCTAAGCCCCCGAACACTTTCACCCTGGTGTTGCTTGGGCTGGACTCTGCACCCAAAATTGACGCTGCGGTAGGACGAAAGTTTGACCTACTCCTTTTGTCGAACACAGGCCCCCATTCCCCCATAGAATCCTAACAAGCAGGACCAACCGGCTACTCCTCCGGAACATTAAAGTAGTATAATTTTAAAACGGGGTATAAAATACTCCGCTGGCCAGGCCACGTAAATCGCACTTTTCTGTACTCCGCTACTCCGCAAGACGTCTTAAGACAAGAGAGATCCAGTAGGTCAAAACTTTTGTCCTCCCGATGCCTCACCGGGACCTTTTCTGTTCAGCAAACCTCGCCAAACTTGTTGCTGTGACCTCATGACCTCCTTCAGGTCCCCTTTAGACAGTCATCCCCGTCTAAGAAACGATTCAGGAGGCATCGCCGGGCCGAAAGTTTCGACCCACTTGTGCATCATGTTACACACAGGCTCTTGCGGAGTAGCGGAGTAGTTACTACACCGTTTTAAAAAATATAATAGATTTTAGTTCCGGCGGAGGCCCCAAAGCTCACTTGTGTCAGGAGTCTATGGGGAAGAGGGTGGAGGTCCATGTTTTGTAGCATGTTGAAGCTAGTGGGTCGAACTATCGGCCCGGCGCAGTAGGTCAAAACTTGTGGTCAAGACTTTCGCTCAAAACGTTTCACTCAAAACTTGGTGGCACCCAAACCCTCAGAAATTTCTATGTTCAGGCTTCACAAGACAAACGAAACCTGCTCAAAACGTTCGCTCAAAACTTATTGGCACCCAAAGCCTTGACCATTTCTATCAAATCCCCCAAAAAGAACGGAGACCGAGAGGCCCTAAGCCTTGAAACCTAAACCCTAAACCCTAAATCCTAAAACTCCCCCCCCAAAAGAACGGAGACCGAGAGGCGAAGAAGGAGATCTGCATCAAACCGCTGGCCAGCCAGAGAAAGCAGGCGATGAAGAGATCCAAGGGCCCAGAGTTGGTGTGACCTTAGTTTGTTTTAAGGTTTTTATGAAAAACAGGTTTTAGGGTTTCGGGCTTTAGGGTTAAGGTTTAGGGCCCAGAGTTGGTGTGACCTTGGGCTCTTGTTTTCGTTGAATTTCAGCGTTTTGGGAGAGTTTAGGAAGGGCCCAGAGTTGGTATGACCTTGGGTTCTTGCTTAAGGGTTTAGGGTTTAGGGTGTAAGGGTTGAGGTTTCGTATTTACTTGGAGGGTCGGGGGACTTAGTAACTGGTTATTCTAGGGACTTATAAGTACCGTAACCCCAATTAGGGTTCCTTTTAGGGT